TTCCTATCTCGCGCCAACTCCACCCCGGGGACCAGCCGAGCCTGCGCGAGAGCGACGAGAAGCGCAAAAATAAAAGGAGGGAGAGAGGGAGGGAGGAACAAAAAAAAGCGGGGGGGAGTAAAAGAGGCGCGCGCGGGCCGCTTGCAAAAAACTCCTTCCCTTTCTCCTCCTCCCCCGCCCCCGACTCTTATTAAAGCGAGAAATAATGGATGTGAAATACAGGCATACAAAGGACGGGTGCAAAATACAGGCGTCCATGTCCAACTAGGCGTGCAAAAAGAAATGCATGCATGCATCAATGCCTCGGAACGGCAGGGACCCTACGCGGGTGCATCGGGTCTGCAAACCCAACGTCTGTTAGTTCCTTAAAACTAGGTGCTCTCGTGGGGGGTCACCGTCTCCCTGTCAGACTTAGCAGACTTGAATGTACTTTGCATGGTAAGGCACCAATCTTGAAAGCTGACCTACAGAGACAGATCTCTGCTCCCAAGCAGAAGCCCCATTGATTTTGTGGGCTTTCATCGGTCTCCTCTCTCTCTTCCTGTTATGGCCAGGCTCATCATGCCTGGAAGACACAGCCTTTACATTCAGTCAGACTACTAAAACTAAATTCACGCAGGATGCCAATCCCATTGAAGGCATCTGGGCTACAAGTCAGGAGACCTGGGCTCTGTTCCTGGCTATGTCACAGACACACTCCGTGACCTTGGCCAAGTCATGTAACTCTCTGTGCCTCAGTTTCCCCATCTCTAACACAGGGATAATGATGCCTACTCACTTTTGTTAAGGACTTTGAGATCTATATGTGAGAAGAGCTACATATGTGCTAAATTACGGTTATTCCAGGGCTGAATATGGCCCTTGTTCTCTGAGTAAACAAGAAGCAGCTTTCTATGCCAGGCAACAGAAGATTTTCTCCATTTGTTTAGAGGGACGTTGTGAGGATTAATTTTTGCACAGTGTTTGAAGATTAGAAGTCATATAGAAGAGAATATTATTTCTATTATTACTGTTACTAACATATGTTATTTGGGGTACAGGTGGATTTACAGAGGGAAGACCACTAAATGGAAGTGATTTTATCTTCAGAGGCCCATGCCTGCAGAGATGCATTTGCAGGGATGTTTACCTGCATTTTGCTAGGCAGCACTGAAGAAGGAGGGGTAAAGAATTGCACTCTTCTACATACAACGTCCTACATGTACCCTGAATGACTATTTAATCAGAGCAGACACATCTGTAGCCACTCCAACAATACTATAACAAAGACAATCGCTGGTGTAAATGTCTATACGGACAAGTTCACAGACAAAGGCTTTGATTCAGCAAAAGACTTAAGCACATGCTTAAAGTTAAACGTGTTTAAGCGCTTTGCTGAATCGTGCCTACGTGATCAAACAACGGAACCTCCATTTCAGATTTGCAGCATGAAGGGTGAATAAGGTTTAAAAGGAGAACCATCACGCAGCCATATATAAAAGCAGACCATCATACCCCCAACCTTCTCTGCCATCTCTTAACATCCATTCACAACTACTGACAGCAGTCCCCACCACCTCCAGACAACCTGCCCAAAAGACAGAAGCTCATAGAACATGTTAAAGACCCCCATGGCACAGTCAAAATACAAGGTGGAAGAGTCGGAAAGAGAGGCGCCTTAAATCCATGCAAGCAGACTAAAAAACACCCATATGTGTAAAAGGGAGAGGTACCTTGCGTGCTCAGGTATGCAGGACACTGGTTTGTTTAATGGGTACCCAGGATAAAATAACTGAGGAGAGGATTCACATTCATCACTGATGTAATTGCAGCAGCTCCCAAACTTGTCCGTGGACCACTTTCTGGTGACCTTTGGAGAGCTGGCTGGTCATATGCTGCTGCCTCCTCCTCTTTGTTTCCAAGCCGCTACATCACACTGAAGACAGCTAAAAACACATCAAAATACTTTCCCTATGTTGCTTTTCCATGTAAACAGCTGCTGGAGTTCTATGGGGATGCTACAGGATTGTGAACGGAAGGGAGCTGGTCTGCACCTTTCCAAAGGCAAGAAGAGGAGGTCTGCATAATCAGAAATGGGAGAGGAGACAACTTCTCCATTGAGATGTGGGTTCCCCAATGAAAAAGTTTGAGCAGCCTGGTGCGGTAGGTTTATCTCCTTTGGGAGCACATACCGTCATAGGACTAACCATTGCCAGCAGATGGCACTGTTGCTCCTCACAAAAAGAGTTGCATGACCACATTGATCTGGTTCAGAGCTACTCCAGCAGCTGTGTGTGTGTTGGGGTTATTTCTATTTTTGTGCACTGCACTCAGGAGTTCGCTACCAACCAGCTCTCGCAATCAGTTCTTATTTCTGATGCTTGATTTTTGTGAATTAGTGTCTCCCCAAGAAGTCTATAACAGCACCAAGTAGACAGGCTAAATATAAACCCTGCAGAACTATTGGGTTATTGCAATTCTGATATAGGCTGCCCTCTGCTTATAGGCCCTGGTCCTGCAGAGACTTATGTTTAACTTTAAGCACCCCCAATGAGTTCAATGGGACTATTAACTGACATGCATAAAGCTAAGCATGTGTGCAGGTCTCTGCAGGACTGTTGGGCAACCTCCCCCAAAGCAGCTTCATGTTGGTTGTTGACAGCATCGTCACCGTCAAGCTGAAAATCTGCCTCCTCCCAAATTAGCTTAATAGGAAATGACAAGGACCTGCTAACTAATTACCAGTGCTACAAAAGCAGCATCATTGCACCAGTAGAACAGGAGTAAGGGTTCATGAGAATTTCTGCAGAAACAAGAGGTGAGTAGTTCCCAGAAGGGACTCTTCTCCCCTCCTGTTATTTTTCAAATATTAGTGATTTGGTTTAGTTAAATTTTTCTTTAGAGAAAAGCCTTCTTGGCTTCCAAAAACTGCCTGTATGGTCATGTAGCATTAGAGAATTTGTGGATTTTACTCACTCCCTCTTATGTTCCAGGGGATCTTCAAACCTAGTCAATGTCAAAAGTGAATTAAAATCAACCTCTGGTCACGCACCTGCTGCCTCCCTAGCCCATCTTCTGTGTCTTGTGTTCCTTTCCTGATGCTTCTTAAAAGCTCCTCTCTTCCCTCCCCTCTCCCCCCACCACTTCCTATGTAAGACTCACTTACATGTGGGTGAGTGAGTTGAAGAAATATGGAAACAAACTAGTGTTGTAAAAAGTAAGGATAAATGATTGTGACTGCAGTTGGGTGTATCATTCTACTGACTAGAGTGAGCTTCTCTGTAAGCACAACTCACTAGCCTGTGGACTGGGTGCAGAGAGAATGTATAATATGTGGATTAGTGAGACTTATCTGGACCCAATCACTTTCAGGATTAGGGCCTAAAAATAAAGAAATGTTGTTCTCTAAGCTGTCAGTGTCAGAAAGTGATCTACAAAATCTCTGAATTTGGTATTCTTTTAACTAGAATAATAGCTGGCTAGTGTACTTGTGTGTGGGGTGTTCAGGTTTTTTAATGCTCTCCTGTGTGGGGGAGAGAACTGTATTAGGACATTCTTTCTTCTTCTCTTCCCTGCCCTGTCACTATCAGTTTCAACCATGGTCTCAGGTGTGCATGTATGCCACATCTTGGTTTAATATTCTCAGTGAACTTATCTCTAGGACTAAAGTCCTACCCTGGACTATCTGAATCGGGGCTTTCTATATTGGATCTTCAGCACAGCCGATCAGATAGTCCTTTCTTGCTTTACAATCATGATCATCCAGTCTGACCTTCCACATAACACAGGCTAGAGAATCCAGCCAGTAACTTCTTCATCAAGTCCATAATGTCGGTTTGAGCTCAACCATCTTTTAGTAAGACCACCCAGGAGGCCAGGATAGTGTACAGCTTCTGGGAAACAGCAATGAGCTCTTCCTTGAGTGAGCTCTCCCAAGTCCCTACTGAGCAGCAGTTCATGTGACTGCCCTTTCCCATGTGTTCTGCCCCTCTAGCCCACTGGAGGACCTCAGCTTTGTCATCTAAGCTGATATGTTGAATACTGAGCTGCCCTTAAAGAGACACTGTCCACCAAATGTGGTGTGTGGTTTTTTTTGAAGCTTGTTTGTTTGTTTTTTTGTTTATTTAAAAAAAAAATCCAGCTCCTGCTATGGAGCCTCTGGTACAGTATTGACTTGAGGTTTTAATCGTAACCTCTTTAGAAGGGATTTTCCAGCTCCCCTATCCAAGGGCCTCTTTGGTAACAGAAGATGTGCACAACAGCACATTGTTTTGCCTAGTCAATGTCAGGGGAATAGAAAGCTTCTTTCTAGCTGAAGAAAGCTGGTCATTTTAGGTGTTGCGTGTAAACTATTAGTACAAAGCTTCCAGACAAATGTGATCTTAAAGTTGACTTGGTCCCCCAAGGAACACACTGTCTCTAAAATCCACATAGCCAGAGGAAAAGCCCTAGCTAGCACATAGGAATTCCTGGTCTACTCTCTAGTCTAGGGTAGTGGTGGGAGAAGAGCTACAAATGTTTCAGTTGCAGGGTAACCATGTAGCAAGCAGCCCCAGTGGTGTGTGAGAGCCTACTGCACAGCAAACTGCTAAAGGGTCTCTCTGGCATCAGACCCCAAGGACAGAAAATGAGCTCTCCTCTGTAGGTGTTCTAAGGAGTCCCCTCTCCTTAGTCTGACTTTGCTTATAAGAATGGTGGGACACAAGGACTGGAGCCATTCAAAGCCAACCCTTACAGGGGAACTAAAGCAGTATGAGTTCCTGGGGTAAAAAGTATCTTCAGGTGAGCTTTACTAGCTACAGCTAATGCTCATGAACCAACCTAATGCTAGAAATGGCCAGCTGGCAGGACAGTGGTGCCATTTGTGAGGTGGGAAGAATGTAAACAATCTTCCAACCTGTTAACAACCTCTACCTCTCTATCTGTCTAGGACCATCAGTGTAAATCTTAAGGCACTCTACAAACACTAATTAGTCCATCCTAATGATACCCCTGGGAAACTAGTATTGCTCCCGTATTACAGATGAGGCTTAACACTTGTCCAGGTTCATTGTGGGAGTTTGTCTATCCCTTTGCTCTCCTGGCTCCTAGTCCTCTACTTGGATGACCTCTGTCTGCCAGGGCTGCAAAGATTGGCAATGGGTGCTGTTTCAAAACCAACTGAAAGATTTAAATGCTGGTTGGAAATATAACTGAGGAAGGTGGGTTTATAGTAACCTAGTTAATGTCAAATATAAGCTCAAGGATGAGGCAGGCATGTTTAAAGATTGAAAAGCTTCTGTAAGGCCTGGTCTATGCTAATGTTCTACTGGTGTCAGGGGTTTCTAACCAGTACAGTTATACTGGTATAAACCACAGTGTGACTGCAGCTATATTGGTATAAAGGTGCCCTCTATCAGTAGAGCTTATTTTGTTTCCTGAACCAGAAACAGGCCTACTGGTGTAAAGTCTCTGGTATAATTACATCCATACTGTGGGGTGGCTGCTTTAACAATACATGGGGATAGTTAAAGTAGTCAGACCTGCTCTGCTCTAGACAAGCCCAGAGTCAAGACTCTGGAAAAGGAGCCCTGTGAAGGACAACGTGTTTTCCCTCTGTCAAGGCTTCCTTTACTCACAGGGTGTGTCTGTTGGATGCAGCAGGACAAGACTGAGTGACTTAGTGCGGAGATCCTGTGATGTCCTCCACCCAGAGGAGCAGTACCAACCTTGTGATGTTAAAGGAGATCTTGGAACATGGGTTTGTGGCAGGTGCTTCCAGCTGTATCAACTTTTCTCCAGGCATCAGCTACTACTTGGAGACTGACAGTACCTCTAAACCAGATGCCTGGGATGGCATCCTTGACTTGGAGAACACAACAAAAGGTAGTTCTCAGCTTGTCCTCAAGTGGCCAGAGTCTCTGAGCAGTTGTGTGAAGGGTGACCTGAATTGTGTGACCCAGGGCCTTTGTGATGGTGGTCTTGCTTGCTTCTGCAAGACCCCCAGTGTTCCAGTTGCCTTTGACTTGTCCAGTGTGGCTTCTGAATCCAACAGCAGAGTGAACTCAATAGTAGATGTATTTTGTGATGCCAAGTCCTCCACACCATGCAAGGAAGAAAAGCTCCGCAAATCAATGGACAACTTGCTCTCCAAAAGCTCTGAGATAACAACTGACTTCTCCAGTCTCAGGAAACCACCTCCACCCATCTGGGAGATCTCTGAGATACCAGCCCTGCTGGACAACACTCTTTCTCTGGATGCAAGTGTAGAAGAGCTGAGGTCACTGGGATCTCTGAAACCAGATACCCCATCTCTGGAGAAATCTGTCTTTGCTATTGCTTTGGCATGGCCTGGTGCAGCTACCAAGAGACCTTATGCTCCTGGCTTCAGGTCTCTCAGTTATGATACCCAGGGGAGTGAGCCAGAGCCCTTAGCTGTGGCTCACTGCATGAAGCCATTTGACTTTGCTATCCCCTCTCTGACAGATGGAGTGACAAGCCAAATGGGCCACAAAAATCAAAACTCCTCAAATGAGAGAGGAAAGGAGTGATCTTAGCTCAGTGCGATGGCCAAAGCCAACAGGCTAAGCACTAAGCTCTCTAGTGACAATGTTACTTGGGATTCTCTCTGGTAATGCATGTGCTCTGCATCATAGTGCAAACATAAGTGATACATGGTCCAGGGTGTTTGTTGCACAAGAGGCTAGTGTATAAAGCCTGACTGGAGTTGGGGGGTTTTCATCTGTGTCCAGGAAACTAGCTCACCTCATGGCAAATCTCTAAAGTCTCTTAACAAATAGTTTCAGCTGCAAATGGTGGGAACCATCCTGGGTGAGGCTCTATTGCTGTGATGCCCTCTCATCTCCACCTGGGAAAGGACCTTTTTAAAAAAAAAAAAAAAAATTCTAGTGTGGAAACTTGGTAGGGGCACTGCTGGGTGGAGGAAGCTGTTCTGAATTCCTAGATAAGCTTGGTGGGTCTTTTTAAATTAACTGGATGTTGACTCTTGCTCAACAGCACTGAACTTGATTTGTGACCTTCATATTGACCAGAATGCCTTGTAAAACTCTGTCTTAATTGTTTGTAGTGTGCAAATAAAAAGAACTCAATCTTGTGCATAGCTATTACTACTGGACAGCTGGCATGCCTCAAGGTAATGAGACCCTCTGCTCCTTTTGCTCAGGGAACACAATGCTATTGTTCTCCTTCAGCTCAGCTGTAGGGGCATGTTCCCATTGGTAATATTTATGGGGGAAAGCAGCCAGCTGTTAAATAGGTATACTTAACCTGCAAATCACTCTATCATGCAAGAGGCTTCAAAAATAAAAATACATGAACTAGAATACCTGACAATGCAAGATCCTAACTTAATTGACCATACTGAAAAAATGGTGGAATGACCAGTCAATTGGCTACTCTAACTGCTACATAAAACGACACAGGAAGGATGGATTAGGTCAGAGTTCAGGGAGTAGCACTATACCTACAATCTTGGTAGAATGGAGCATACAGCACAAACTGAAAGGATACATGAAGTTTCTGCACAGGAGACCAAACAGAGATCTAAATCTAAAACCAGTAATTATGGGTAATTAATTGTAGGTGAAATGTCCCAACAAGACAATACTTAGAAGTAATTGTTTCAGGTGAGGAGAACAGCTCATTCAAAACATGAGCCTATTTTCAACCTAGCCTAAACTAATTGGCTGAGTCACTAAGGGGGATCCACGAAGAGATTTAAGCCTTGACTCTCGCTGTTGTAACACTTTTTTGATCCTTAGAAAATCAAAGGAACAACACTGATCCATAAGCCACATTGACCCCTAGGCTCCCTATACAATGAATGCAAGAGAGGGGCACCTAAGAATGAGCCACAAGAGCCAGTATACCAGGTGCAGAGCTGCCTGAACTAGCCAGTGGGAGAGATGGACATGAGAGGTCTAAGTGCTGGAACTATGGGTGCTGCAGCACCACCTGGCTTGAAGTGGTTTCCATTATATACAGGGTTTACAGTTTGGTTATATGGCTCTTAGCACCCCCCCACCCCAAATTGTTCCAGCATCTGTGATGAGGGCTATATACTAAGCCCTTCCTTCTCTCTGAAATACAGAGATACCTATCTCTGCTTCCCAATCTACAAATGGGAACCTCATTTAGGCACCTCGTGCATTTCTTGTGGGAATAAGTTTAGCCACATGCCTTGCTCCACATAATAGCTGGAGGAGGAGGTGATGCCACCTTGACACCTAGCTTGGTAGGTAGAGCACTCTGGGGATAGAGGAGATTTGGGTTCAATTCCTTTCTCTCTGTCTGGGGGGGAGGAAGAAGTTGAATTGGGGGGCCCTCCAGAGGATGCTCTAACTACTGAGCTATGGGATATTCTGACACAGAAGTCCCTTAATCTTTCCTGTTGATGTTCCACTGTGGATTTAAAAGGAAGTGACTAGAGCGGGGCACTGGACCTTGGCTCTCCTGCCTCCCATGCAGGTGCCTGAACCACTACTATAGTCATTCTCTCTGGCCCAAGGTCTGTTCCACTGTGGATGAATATTTAAATAGCCATTAGATGTGTGAGAAAGACAGAGTCCTTTGAGTTAAAAGCCATAAGGGGGATAATCACCTCCTCCAAATAAAAGTTGGTTCTGAATGGGATGTGATCCTGTAGGCATGCTCACAGACTGCCTACAGGATTGGGTCCTGCATGTGACTTAGGTGGCCAAATGCCTGTCTTCCCCAGTTTGTGTATTGTTCTGGGGCTTTGGGAGGTAGGCATCTGGCTGCCTAGAAACAGTGGTTCTCAACCAGGGGTACATGTACCACCACCACCCCCCTCCCCCCCAGAGGGAAAAGCTCATCTAGATATTTGCCTAGTTCTACAACAGGCTGCATAAAAAGCACTAGTGAAGTCAGTACAAATGAAAAATTTCATACAATGACTTCCTTATACTGCTCTATATACTCTGCACTGAAACAATTATATTCCAATTGATCTATTTTATATGGCAAAAATGTGAAAGTATGCAATTCCAGTAACAGTGTGCTGTGACACACTTTTTTTGTATTTTTGTCTTTTTTCTTGTAAGCAAGTAGTTTAAGTGACATTAAACTTGGGGGGGGGGACGCAAGACAAATCAGACTCCTGAAAGGAGTACAGTAGTCTAGGAAGGTTGAGAACCACTAGGCTAAAGGAAGGCAGTAGTACATCTGCTCAGAGGCAGAAATGTATAGGTTTAGTTAATTCAGACCCTGAAAACTTAGGTGCTGAATGAGTTTAGGTACCTACTGCAGTCGGCAGCAGTTCTGTGCCACCAAAACTGCATTAGGTATCTAAGTACCTCTTGACAGGTTTCAGAGTAACAGCCGTGTTAGTCTGTATTCGCAAAAAGAAAAAGTAGTACTTGTGGCACCTTAGAGACTAACCAATTTGAGCATGAGCTTTCGTGAGCTGTAGCTCACGAAAGCTCATGCTCAAATTGGTTAGTCTCTAAGGTGCCACAAGTACTACTTTTTTCTTTTTAAGTACCTCTTGTGGACCTGGGCCTAAGTGTCAAATTAAACTCCAAATCCTTTGAACCAGTGTTTAAACTACCACTGACCTAAAAACTTTGAAAAGGGAAATTTAACAAAACACTTCAAGTCCCTGAAACTACAGTGAGGAGAAGCCCTCTGTAGTAGGGGACAGAACACATTTATACAACAGATGGGCTGGAAGGGCAGGTTAGTACCTGAAACTACTTGAACCCAGTTTAACAGATTACAAAGTGATTGCCCCTCTAAAATGGGAAATATTTCTTTATTCATTTCATCTTTAAATTAGGGCATGATGTTTCAGAATCTACAGCCTTTTGTCCATTACTTTAAGGTAGCAACTAGATAATGTCATTAACACTACACCCCACTTTGGGCCCAGAGCTAAACTACCCTCTGGCCATTGAAATGATGGTTCTAGAGGGGCACCCTCTAAGCGCCTGAGCTGGAATCTGGGCTATGCCGAGCAAGGCTGGCAGGTAGAATAACTTCACATCTCTGCAAAATCTAGTGTGTTTTTGTGTAACAGTTTTACACCCTAGATATTTGGAACAGGATCCAGTAGAGTTCCCAATAATTATATTTAGTGGGGTTGTGCTTCTGAGGGGAGAGAAGGGAACCCCTTCTCCCCCCCTTGTCTATATCACTAAGTGAACTGTAACTCTGGCAAGTGGAGCCAGCCCTGCCAAATCTCAGCCTTGCTGAAGGAATCTCTCCTGGGTTGATTTTAAGGTCTCTCCCCGTCTTAAGAGACATTTAAAAGTCTTATTCCGGACTCTTTGGCATCTCTCCCCTACTTGATCCCTGCTCACCTGCCCTGAGTAACTCTCCTAACAGCGGCGGCCTACAGCAGGACTGGCCCAGCCTTAAGGCGGGACTAAGGCAGCAGGGGCGATGCAAGACATTTACACAAAGAAACAAGATGGCCGACCTCACACTAGAGCATTACCCCGGCGTAAAGCTTAGCGGGGGCTGCCTGGTTTGTGAACTAAAAGGGCCGGGCCGGGGGGAAGGGAGGCTAGCGCACAAGCAGCCTGCGCGGGACAGCAGCCTGGGCGGGGCACGTAGGAGGGGCTGACGGGCGGCGTGGGAGAGGGCAAGAGCCGAGGAGGGAAATCTGAAGTCGGCTTGTGCCTGCCGGCGGATAACGCCTCCTGTCCGTAGGAGCCCGGGGAAGCGGATCCGTGGGCTGGGGGGTGGGAAGGGCGTTTGCGCGAACATCCCGCTGTACCGCTGAAGGGAGGAGGAGAAAAAGGTTTATACCTCACTGAATCCACCCCCCACCCCCACCCCGGCTCCCTCGGCCGTGAACCCGGCACGGCTGGGCGCAGGGCTGCACGTCTCACGCGCACGAGCGGGGCTGGCACGACACGTGCACGAGCCCGAACCCCCCCCCCCGCTGGAGGCGGCGGCGGCGGGGGCGTGTGGGACACTCTCTCTCTCTCTCTCTCCTTCCCTCCCTTCTGGCACTGGGGACACAACCCTCGCCCTCCCCGGCAGCTGGAGCGGCGGGGGGTGTATGAGCCTATGCGGCGGGGGTGGGGGGGGAAGGAGAAAATGCAGTTACCTCAGCAGCGCCCCGGGGACCGCGTGAGTGGCGGAGCGCCGCGGGAGAGCAGCCATGACCGGCTCAGCATCCTGCAGGCTGAAGTGCTGCGAGCCCGGGTCTCTGCCTTAGCTCAGCCCCGAGCAAAGCCCGGCCCGGAGACGGGACGGACGCGGCATCCCGAGACCCCCCCACCCCGCCAGTGCCTACACGTGGGCAAGGAGAGTCAGCCCGGCGGCGGGGCTGGGCCGCTGCGGGTCCCTCTTCAGGCCGGAAGAAACCCAGCCTGCGCCCTATGGGAGCCTGGCAAGGACAAAAGAGCAGCGCTGCTCTTTAAAGGGGGCTGCGCGGACGGTGGCTTGTTGCCAATCCCAGGGGTCCCACGGGCGAGAGAGCAGGGCCTCGCTGCGGCGGGCACCCCACACGTCCATTGAAGCTCGGATGCGAAGTGACAGGCCCAATCTGCAGCGAGGGAGCTGGGTTAGCTGTTGGGGAAAGCGGTCTTGCTGTAAGGGCAGTTAAGCTCTGGAAGAGGCTGCGCAGGGTGGCTGTGGAATCCCGCTGGTTCTGTGTAGTAACACACACAGTCCCTGGCGCATTTACACTCTACCTAAAGAAGCCAGGTTGGAGAAGGGAGTATCATTATCCCCATTTTACAGATGGGGAAGTGACTAGCCCAAGGGCATGCAACCCCCTGAAAAGGTTTCAGGTCCCACTTAAAATCTCCATTTTAGAGATTGGGCAAGTCACTTCTCTGTTTCCCTAACTCACACAGCCTGGAATAGATCATGGATCCCATGACTCAGAGGTCTGTCCCTTAATGGCTTAGAACAGTGGTTCTTAACTCAAACTATGGGTCAGGACCAGGGCTGCCTTAGACTTGCTGGGGACCGGGGCTTCAGTCTCCGCTCCTGGGGTCATGTAGTAACTTTTGTTGTCAGGGGGGGTCACATAGTAATTTTTGTTGTCAGAAGGGGGTCATGGTGCAATGAAGTTTGAGAAACCCTGGCTTAGAAGATGCTCCCTCTTCTAAGTGTTTATAAAGCAGCTGAAGTCTTTTCTCATGTAGGATTAATGTTGGGGCAGTTTTTAGTCACTTCTCTTGTGAAGTAGGATTTTGCAATGTAGGAAGGTGCTGGGACATTCAGAATTGAGGTAGCTTGGTGCATTATTTCTGTAATCATTTCATATGGCCCTCATGGAAGGAAGTGGGTCAATTAGGAACTTCTCACATGACCTTTGTTTTCAGGGGCACCTCTCATCCTACTTCTAATGTTCCCTTCATTCTATATCTGTCTGGTATTTCTCATTTTCATTGATGCAAATTATTTACAATAGACCTAGACACAAGAAATGGAGAACAAATAGTCACTTCTACTGACAGAAGGAATCCTGCAGCATTTTAAATTTTGTGCAAAAATAATTTTGGTGTCCCTTATTATGGATGAAATTCATCATTCTGACTGCATCCTATATTTCGGCCTTAACAGATGAAGAAGTCTGAGGAAAAGGTGGAGGTTTGGTAAACTGGCATGGGGAGGAGATTCCACAGAGAGGCACTGATTCTTGCTTGTGGATGGCTTTAGGGTAATAATAAATTATACAGTAGTTTATTCATAACCATGGAGTTCTTGAGCAGGTGTGAATAGTATCTTTGTTCTCTGCCACCACTCCCTGGATGACTCCAAGTAGAAGATCTCTTTAAATATTCTGTTAATTTGCAGTAGGTGTTACCAATGTCAAATCTCCCAGTTACTACTCTAGTCAGAATCATAGCTAGCTGAAAAGAGACAATGCTCTAGAAGTTAGCCTCTGATCAGTTTAACAGCTGAACAGTCAACCTCCTGCTTAGGTCCCTAAGGAGAGAAGTTGGAGCATATGAAGAAGAGAATACACTCCTTCAGGCTAATGTAAGGGGCTGTGATGCAATAAGCCCCACAAGTGTAGAGATGAGAAGTCTGTTTCTGAAAGCAGCACTCATTTTAATTTCCTTCTGGGTGTGATGCAGGTTATTCTGCAATGCTCCTTCACAAGCAAAGCATCAGGCTGGGGTGCAGAACTGACTCACAAAAGCACCACAGCAATTAAGCTTTTTCTTATTCTGTGGCTATGTTTACACAGGCATATATCACATCCATCACACATGACTATGGGGGTCTGAGTGTACACAGCACTCAGGTACTTGAGGGTTAGAAGACAGGGTAGAAAAACATCTACATCCTGTCTACATAGTAATCTCTGCTTGTGCAGAATTATAGGCTGATTTTTGGAAGTATAAGAGACAAAGCCTGTGTGACACTGAAGCCTATCTGTGATTAGTATCTAGCAAATAGGGAGTTGCATATTGCACAGTTAGTAAAAATCAAGGCTACACTAGTTACAGCAGTTCCACTGCATACAAATCCCTGCCCTCTGACTGGCTACTGCTCTTAAACCACCATCCACATGGCAAAACAGCTATGATGGTTTCAACTTCTATTAGGGGAATGAAATGAAAAGGAACTACATAATCATGAGATTTCAGTGTAAGTGGAAGGATGCCTGATAGAGGGGGCCAGGAGCCACTGTCTCTTAATGGATGCTAGTTGTTTTTTTTGTTTTAAAGGAGAGAAGTGCATGGTTATCCCTATCTACATATCAGCTTGGGAAGCTTACTCTGCAAGTTATAACAATTTAGTGAAAATGCTTCCCTTTGTTTCAAAGCTCACTACAGTAGGCCCATGAGCAATGCAAACAGGGACACCAGATATACTGAAGGATAAACCCTAGCTCTTGGTTGGTCACACACTGCTTACTCTGCATTCTTAGAGGGCCCTGCTGACTTATTTCTAAAACATATTATTGCAACAACAAGCACAGTTGGCAAAACACCTTTTAAAAGCTTTCTAAAGGAAGCATTTATTTACTGTCTAAAATATAAACACAGAAGAACAGCACAGGCTGGAGCTATCCATCACTCCCTAAATACCAGTAGGATTGCTGGAATCTGTGGTGCTTTGGTGAATGGTATTGACACAGTCTTGGAAAGATTGAGGTGGTTGTGTAAATCTTCAGCTGGATTGTACTAGCCAGTGTCCTGGGTGAACAGGGTAACTAGTTTGTAAGAACACAAAGCACACCAACCTTTTTTGAAAAATGTGATCTCTGACCAAGCATGATCATCTTCCACCACTGCCATAGAGCTGTTGGGGCGGACTGGGACCCTATGGAATTTAGAAGTTCTACACTTGTCTAAACAGTAAAGGATGCTGGGGCCCATATTCATAACTGGCACAAGTAAGCAAAAGCTTTTGAAGTCAATGGAATTGCCACTTCTGCCAGCAGCATGTCGTGCATATTTGCATAGTGTCAACAGCATGCTAGGTGTTTTAGGCAGGAAAGAATGCTAGCTCCTCTTCCTGACAAGCAGTGTAAGCTGATGTTTTAGCATCCATGCGGGGGGGGATGGGGCAACAGCAGAAAGAATAGGATTTTCACTCATCTTCACTACACCACTGAGGAGAGGATAAAAGGTGAAAAGGCCTGTCTGAAGAAGCAACTTTGAAGGTAGTGATAGGGCAGACCAGGACTACAAGCAGGTGCCAGGGATAGAGGCCTGCATCTCAGACACGAGCAGAGAAAGGCGGTGGTTACTTGTGCATAATACACAGTTACATATGAGGAAGGGGTGCTCTTGTGCAGTGCCAATTACAGGTTTAAAAACTATTAAGAAAAATAGATGTCCTTGCCCCTCTTGACACAAGCAGCTGGTTATTAACACTGGAAGAATGCGAAACCTTTTCATCATTTATGCTTTCGGTTTTCTTGTTTGCTCTACACTCAGCTTGTACAATTAAAGATCAATCACTTCCACTTTAATTTCAGTTCTTATGCAGTAACTCAGGGCTTGTTGACACTTACCTGGGGACACATGAGCAGCAACTGATGCATCGGCGGTCAATTTAGCTAAATCGACCGCCGATCGCTCTCCCATCAACTCCTGTACTCCGCCAGATGGAGAAGAGTAAGGGCTCCCGTTGATATCATGTAGTGGTACACTGATCTAAGCTAAGCTATGTTGATTTGAGTTACGCTATTCACATAACCCAAATTGCGTAGCTTAGATTGAATTTCCCCTGTAGTGTAGATAATGCCTCACGGTTGCAGTAAGCAGGTGGTAAATAGCCCATGGATAGAATAAATCCAAGCAAAAAGTATGGTGTGGCTTTCTGGTTTTGAAAAACACCTTACACTGTAGGCATTGTGTGAAAATGTTCCTTTTGAATTCTATGTATTCTTCCACATGGCTGCCCCTACCTTCTAAATTTACATGGTGCCTTACACTTTACAAAGACTGATCCACAAAGAATCTTCTTATCTTTGCCTAAGTATACTCCTTTCCCTCTGGAAGCTCATCCTTTTCCTCTGTAGTGACAAACCTACTTCTCTTGACTGTCAATCAGGAGGCAGCCACAGGGTGAGAGATTAGCATATGAGTTTCAGTCCCAATTCTACTTATAGCTACATACTCTGCTCTCCAGCACACAAAAAATAAATAAATCAATCACAGATGAGTGGCCTCTCTTCTACTATGAAATTAAAAAACTACAAGCATCTGTAAAACAAACATTTTATACTCAAACAAATTCTGCAAGCATTAGAGACAGGAAAATAAATACCAGAGACCGAAGTAGGGTTTGGAATGAAATATTTTCTTAACATAAGAATATTTCATAAATTACAGAATTATAGCTCCAATACAAAAATAGAAACAAGATTAAATATGGAATGTGTGTTACATAAAAAGCTTTTGAAAATTATTGCCACTTACAAGGCAAACCCTAATTTGGCATTAAAAAAAAAGTACCAGTTTAAGACTTTATACATATTTACAACACCCAAAGGTTCAAAGAGAATTGCTGAGGCAATGTCAACCAATATATTGAATAAACAAGTAGAAAAATAATTTACACTGAGGGAGGTACAATAAATGTTTTTGCTAAGAAGGTCAGTCGGTCTCTCCCTCTGACAGGAAAATCCAGTGCTCAGTAACCATTCTGGAATCCAGCTTCACTTGTGTCAATATCATGTTCCTTTACAGGGGTGGGGAGAAGAAAGGACAATATACAGTAAAAGTTATACACTTAAAAACAAAACAAAACCCTTCACCTTTAAAATGTACTTTTACTGATGTAAACCTGGAAGCCCTATTAATGAAACAGCTGATCAGAAGGGAGGCGTTCACAATTGACCCAGCAGCCCTAAACTTTGTAGCACCATCAGGAATGCTCTATTCTCAGTTACTGAGACCCAGAGCCTCAAAAGTATTTAGGCTCCTAACTCCCACTGAAATCAAAAGCAGTTAGGAGCCTAAATACCTTTGAAGATCTGGTTCTAACAGACTATAGTGACCTGGCTGGAGGCCCAAGCCATGAAGACAGAGTACCTTGAGTTGCAAGGAGGGAGAGAGAGACAGAGACACAGTAGGGCATGCAGTAAGCAGCAGAAGGGGGTATCAGATCTGAATGAAGCTAATCCCCCGACGCAGCCACAAAGAGCCGCCCTTTGCTGTGAGTAGAGCACCCCATGACAGAGGGTCATACCTAACATCATACTTTCCATACATTAGCTGTTCTGCTATTAAAACAATGTACCTGATTCAACTTCTTGAACTCCACCACTTGGAAGAAGATGTGCTCCAAGATATGCTTGGCATCTTGCTGCTCCTTTGGGAGTTTGTTTGTTACCCCTAAGATATCACCACATTTTCTGACATAAAACTCCAGGTCATCTTCAGTACCTAACAAGGACGCACAGAGTGAGGGAGACAAATACACACACACACACACACACACACACACACTCTCTCTCTCACTCACACACACGGAAATCATTCATGCATAAAGACATGGACCAGAAAGCAGAAGCAAAATGAGAGACCCATTAATATCAAATCAGCTGCAGTCCCACTACTGAGATTCACAGCAGGATCAGGGATTCTGACTGGCCCCACTAGATCCTGATACTGAACACTTTAAAATATTTTTTAGAGTAATGTCCATCACAAATTAGTGAGAGGAATCTAGGATCCTTTAACATGTATGGCTCCAAGAATCATATTCTAGTGACCACAGCACTGGAAGTCATTCTGGACAATGACTGGAGAGGAAGGCAGGAGACTCAGAAAAAGAAGAGTCACTCTGCTATTAACATTTTGATCTACAACATGTCATGCATGTGAGAAGGATATTTTCCATGGACCTGATTTCCAGAGATACTGAGAACCCCTAACCCTAGATGAAATCAATGTGAAGCTGTAGGGGCACCGTACATCTGAAAATCAGGCTCTATATTCCTACTGCAGCTAAAATGTCTCAAGTTATTTTGCTAAAGTTTTTCTCAAAAGAATGGGACTTCTGTATAAATATGAATGTAATCCAACTTCAGAAGTTTGCCTTGCTTACATTTGTTTGTAATCTGTGCCAGACGAGCTTTCTCAGAGGAGAACGTTTCATCTAAGTCAAACAGGTCCAGACTGGGCGGAGGTAATTCTCTGAAAGCAGGTGGGAAAACCTACAAGAGAAGATTTAATGTATTTTACTGTCAAGTGTTTTCCTTACATGCTATAGAAAACTAGGAGATAGCTTTCAACTTGGATATCAGTAGAGCCTTTTGAAAATCTATGATAAGCCAAAACTCCACAATAAACTGAACACATTTCAAAACTTCATTTGTATTTCATATAGAGCTGTCGATTAATTGCAGTTAACTCGCACAAGTTAATTTTTTTGAGTTAATCACGATTCATCGCAGTTTTAATCACACTGTTAAAAGAATACCGATTGAAATTTATTAAATATTTTTGGATTTTTTCCCTACATTTTCAAATATGTTTATTTCAATTACAACACAGAATACAAAGTGTACAGTGCTCACTTTATTTTTTATAACAAATATTTGCACTGTAAAAATGATAATAGTATTTTGCAATTCACCTCATACAAGTACTGTAGTGCAATCTTTATCGTGAAAGTGCAACTTATAAATGTAGAAATGTGTGTTACATAACTGCACTCAAAAACGAAACAATTATAAATCTTTAGAGCCTGTAAGTCCAGTCGGTCTTACTTCTTGTTCAGCCAATTGCTCAGACAAACAAGTTTGTTTACATTTGCAGGAGATAAGGCTGCCCGCTTTTTGTTTACTGTGTCATCTGAAAGTGAGAACAGGATTTTGCATGGCACCGTTGTAGCTGGCGTCACAAGGTATTTACATGCCAGATGCGCTAAAGATTCAATATGTTCCTTCATGCTTCAATCACCATTCCATAGGACATGCGTCCATGCTGATGATGGGTTTTGCTCAATAATGATCCAAAGCAGTACAGACCAACACATGTTCATTTTCATCATCTGAGTCAGATGCTACCAGCAGAAGGTTGATTTTCTTTTTTGGTGGTTAGGGTTCTGTAGTTTCTGCATCAGAGTATTGCTCTTTTAAGATTTCTGAAAGCATGCTTCACACCTCACCCCTTTCAGATTTTGGAAGGCACTTCAGATTCTTAAACCTTGAGTCGAGTGCTGTAGCTATCTTTAGAAATCTCACATTGGTACCTTCTTTGTGTATTGTCAAATCTTCAGCAAAAGTGTTCTTAAAAATGACCTACAGGTGCTGGGTCATCATCCAAGACTACTATAACATGAAATATATGGCAGAATGTGAGTAAAACAGCTGGGAACATACAATTCTCCACTAAGGAGTTCCATCACAAATTTAATTAATGCGTTATTTTTTTAATGAATGTCATCAGCATGGAAGCATGTCCTCTGGATTGGTGGCCGAAGCATGAAGGGGCATACGAATGTTTAGCAATATTTGGCATGTACCTTGCAATGCTGGCTACAAAAGTGTTATGCGCACACCTGTTCTCACTTTTAGGTGACATTGTAAACAAGAAGCGGGCAGCATTATCTCCTGCAAATGTAAACAAACTTGTTTGTCTGAGCGATTGGCTGAACAAGAAGTAGGACCGAGTAGACCTGTTGGCTCTAAAGATTTACAATTGTTTTATTTTTGAATGCAGTTATTTTTTGTACATAATTCTACATTTGTAAGTTCAACTTTCACGATAAAGAGGTTGCGCTACAGTACTTGTATTAGGCGAATTGAAAAAATACTATTTCTTTTGCTTTTTTTACAGTGCAAATATTTGTAGTCAGAAATAAATAGAAAGTGAGCACTGTACACTTTGTATTCTGTGTTGTAATTGAAATCAATATATTTGAAAATGTAGAAAACATCCACAAATATTTAAGTAAATGGTATTGTTAAACTTATATCTCATAATATATAAGTAGTAGTATTGTTTAAATTTTTTTTTTAATTGCGTGGTTAATTATGGTTAATTTTTTTAATCGCTTGACAGCCCTAATTTCATAAAAATAACTAGATAGTCTACATATTGCCTAGGAACAAGCATGCCAGCACCTCTCCTTTTTCCCATTTCATTTTATTCTCTTAGTTGTTTTCTTTTTTAAACCAATTAAAACCAAGGACAAGAACTAGATCCTCTTCTGGCCTGGTTATTCCTATATAGGGGCCAAGAAACAGCTAGAGTCTGAATGTGCAGTTTCTATCGCATTCTTCTACTCAAGGCTCGTAAAAGATGTGTGTCTGCCCACCTCCACCCCCTTGCTACAGTCAAAGGAGCATGGGGTTCAGTCTCCAAAGCCTGTGATTCCTCACAACTGCAGAAACAGCTCTGATGTGAGCTCAGCAAGGATAGAATAGCTCTGGTTGCTCCGCTGCCTCCTTGTGGGAGCCCTAACGAGAGCAGGATGGGAGCCTGACTGCCTCTGCCTGAACCTAGGGAAAGAGTTAAGATACTGACTGTGGCCCCAGGACCTTTCTGAAATAACATTTGGCCTTCACACTAAAAACACTGGGCACCGCTGGCTCAGAGCAACATAAAGCAGCTAGGGAGACTTGTGGAAACACTAGATGTATGGAGCATTTTAACATCTTCAGGATATAGTGCGTTCTGCTGGCAGCTGTCTCAGTTTGCTTATCCTGTGTGCACTTAAGGGGTTTCATTGTTTTCAGTCACATAATCTGACTGAACACACATTCATAAGACCATAAAGAGTGCTACTTCATAAAAGGCATGTACTAAGGCACTCAAATGGTTAATGTTCTACCGTTTCTGTCTCTTCCATATAGTTCTTTACAATAAAGATAGAATCCACCTTGTAACATGAACCTATGCCTCTCAGGGGTCAGTAAGGAGCTCAGTCAGGTAAGATTACTCACAGCTGGCTGGAGTGCAGGTAGTGGAGTCTCAAACTGAGGCTGAATGAGCTGGAGAGGTTCATGTTTCACATTCAGCTGTTCATAAGATCTACAATCAAGAAAAAGGCACAGTCTGAGGGGAGGAGATGATAATACATTGTCTGTTTACACTTGCATGTGTAAGATACAGACTGTGAATTTGAATTTGCCCAGGACACCAAGGTTAACACCCTATTTGTGAAAATATGTCATGGGTTCTTTTATGACCACACTTACACAGTAACTTTGATCTCTGCAACAACTACAAAGCAACTGCTTCTAAAAAATGGACAAGCACTCACTACAACGCAGATAGATTGCTCAGCTTTTCTATTTGTAACCTATGGCATGTTTAAATCCAAGTGTCCTAGGGTGAAAGTTCAGGGTATGCATCTAATCGGCATCTTACAAGATTACATTAAGGAAGTGAAAGTGTTTCCTTCAGTATAGGTATGCTTCCAAACACACCAAGAGGAAATGCAGAATAAGACCAAACACACAAACACTTCATAGTTGCTAACTTGATAACTTTAGGGAGGGAGGTTGTATCCAGCTGATAAATTGACATATCAAAAAGCGTTGTGAAATCTCGTGGGTTCTCGTCTCCCTCTTGTAGACACACTCGTAGTCGCTCAGACAGCGTGGCTATATCCGGAAGCATCGTATAGTCTGAAATCTGAACACAATGACACTGCTATGAGTAAGGGGAACTATCTCAAATACGCTCCTCCTACTTTGTACTTCACTTAAAAAAAAAATCATTTTTTCTAGATGAGATAACTTCAGTTTACACTTTTTCCCTCCCAAGACTCTTCACAATGCAGGTCACTATACTTCGTTAAGAATGTCACAGAGAACTATTTAGTTTCATGTGAAAAGAAAGTGAACACGAGCGCCAGCTTGCCTGCTGCAGGTGGAAGCTAGGGTGCCAGGCCAGTCGGTCGGCTGTCCCTGTGGCCCCGGCTAGGCGCAGGGGCGATCAGAGAAGCTCTGAATCTGTGTGTGCCTACCCCCAACCGCAGCCAATGGGAGCTGCGGGGGCGGTGCCTGCAGGTGGACCACTGGCAGCGCGCACCATGCATAGCTGCCTGGCCACATCGTGGCCGCTTCCGGGAGCGGCACGGGGCCAGGGTGGGGGGGATCCTGCCTTAGCCCTGCTGCGCCGCCAACTGAGAGCTGCCTGAGGAAAGCAGCACCCAGCCGGAGCCCACACCCCTCCCTGCACCCCTACCCCTGGCCCCAGCCCTGAGCACCAACCCACTCCCAAAGAATGTACACCCACCCCAAACCCCCTGCCATGAGCCCCCTCCCACACCCTAACTCCCTTCCAGAGCCTGCACCCCAACCCCCTGGGGAAAGGATTGTGCCCAGACTAGGAAGGTGTCCAGTCTGAGAAAGAAATTTATTGAAGCATCTCTAAGGATGAGATTTTACCTGTATTCAGTTGTATTACCGTATTAGGTTTAGATTTGCGTGTTTCGTTTTACTGTACTTGGTAATTCACTTTGTTCTGTCTGTTACTACTTGGAACCACTTAAATCCTACTTTCTATATTTAATAAAATCAATTTTTACTTATTAATTAACCCAGAATACGTATTAATACTTGGGGGTACAAACAGCTATGCGTATCTCTCTATCAGTGTTATAGAGGGCGAACAATTTATGAGTTTACCCTGTATAAGCTTTATACAAAGTAAAACGGATTTATATAGGGTTTGGACCCCATTGGGAGTTGGGCATCTGAGTGTTAAAGACAGGAACACTTCTGTAAGCTGCTTTCAATTGAGCCTACAGCTGTTAGGGGACATGGTTCAGACCTGGGTCTGGGTTTGCAGCAGGCTAGTGGGTCTGGCTCAGACCAGGCAGGGCACTGAAGTCCTAAGCTGACTGGGCAGGAAAGCAGGGTCAGAAGTAGTCTTGGCATATCAGGTGGCAGTCCCAAAGGGGTTTCTGTGATCCAACTCATCACAGAAACCAGTGGCAAATAGGATGCCAACACGTCCATGACTGACATTTTATGATGAATAACTACCCAAATACGGCAGAAAATCCTAATCTACAAGTGGCAAAAACGCCATGGATATCTCCAAAATTCCCCTGAAAACAGTTTCAGTTTTTGAGACCTTGAAGTTCATTCACTACAACATCTGGATGCAATACCAACAAAAGCCACATTAGAAGGTACATTAAAATACTGTTTGTTCTTACATCTCTCTCTAAAATGTTGAACATTTGAGTTCAGGATCCAAACTCAAATATCTAGGTAAAAGCTCGACCAGAACATCAGGGTTAGCATCCATGCTGATGTCTCAAAGAGCGCAGTTAATGAGGACTGAATCTTGATCTGTGAGACTCCAGATTATGGGGGTTTAAGTAAGACTATAACTGGATTTTAATGTCTTCTAGTTATTTTCAATCAGTGGCAATTGACACATTATTACTCAACAACAAAAACATTTAACAAAATGCCCTGCTAGAGAGAGATCTGACTTGCCAGGTTGCAGTCTGAAGAGACTTTCTAAACCTGAAAATTAAACAAAACTCTTAAGGCAGGGGAAGTCAATTATTTTTTGTCAAGGTCCAAATTTCTTGATTAAAGTATAGTCATGGTCCAGACTCCAGAGAAAATAAAATAATAATAATGATAATATGTAAATGAAAAGATTTAGGGGTCCCTTCAAAAGCATCCGGTGATCAGGATTTGGCCTGCTGTCTGCCTATTTACTACCCTGTCCTAAGGGATCTGTAATAAGAACAGGTTTCAGAGTAACATCCGTGTATCTGTAATAAGAACATAGATACAGCCTTGAACTATGGGGTGCTAGGCAGGTACTTCTGTAATTCTGGTCCTAGTGGATTAAAACATTATTAGCTATCACACGATGAATGTCTCTTACCTCAGGGTCCTCTGCATCAATCTGATTTAAATGGATGTCCGTGGTTGTGAGCCACTGGAAAATCACATCCTGTGGATCCAGAGATGCATGTTAATTTTTTTGGAGTGCCCGAATAATTTACTGTAATGCTAAAACATTTTAAAATTCCTTGTCAAATCCACCCGTTGGAATAGATGACGTAAATACGAAAGAGCCGGATAAAACAACAAAGAATATCAGGGGGAGAAAAACGGTAATATTAAGAGTATTTGTATTACTTACCAAAGCAACAAAAACATGGCAAGGAGTGCACTTTATAATGGATGCAGGTCAATTGCAAGGCAAGAGGATGAAAACCAATTCAGTTCATCCACCTGAATAACGTGGGCTGTCTGAAGTTCATAAGTGTTCTTGAAAAATGCAATAATGGGTAAATGATTGCTGAATTGTACTTTTAGGGGGAATACTTGAACAGTAGAGATTGCTAGCTACTGGACTTGGGCAAGGACTATGGGGACAAACTGGCAAGTGCAACTCAACTGAGTTGCGTTAACTTAGAGAGGTTAATTTGGCCTTATGTTTTTAACATGTATTTGTATAGCAATGCAAATCATGACAGTCCTTTATCAGCCAGTCAGAATACTCCTTTCATAATATTTGTTTTAAAAAGGAAAAAATGTATAGAGAGGTGCACGAAGCTCAAGATGCAGTTACAAATCGGCCTACAAAAGAAGTCATGTTACAAAGAAACACATACAGAAACTGAAAGAACATGTAGACACAAATTGCCTAATAATCTGGATCAAGTAGAACAGTTATCTAGGGCTAGAACAATGATTGTAATACCAAAATTCTCTAACCCCCTCCCCTTTTTTTTTTAAGTAGACAGGGATGGTAATACATACCAACTTTTGTGAAGCACTTTGTGATATTTAAACAAAAGGAGCTGTAAGTGCAAAATATTATTGTGTTGCCACATTTCTAGCTGTGACAAATTTCAACTATTTAATGACCAAAAAAACCCTACTGCATATTTTAAACGCACACACACACAAACAATCATGGTCAAGAGAGCAGAAGCAGTAAAAAGCTTTCCAGAATTCCGCTTTGCAATATACAGAGTTAGGTGCTCAACTGCTATCAGTGCCTTTGAAAATCTTTCTCACTATTTCAATGCCAAGTCTGGTTCTCCATCCCCCAACTATTTCATAGTGATGCTAGTATCTGTGCTCTGGGAACAAACTACAAGGGTTGGGTGTGCTTGTGAATGCTATGAAAAGACTAATGATAATTTTAAAATATATTTTAAAAGTCTACCATGATCTTGCCATTTTCTTCTTTATCCAAATATTGGTCACTGAACATGTGGCAAGATCCCAACACTGCCATTTTTCCACCTTGGTTCTGTCAACAAAGTTAACATATAAAAAAAAAAGTCAGATCCCAAACATTCAGGGGATTTCATACCATGCTCTAAACTATTACATTATTTTAATTAGAGGGAAATGGGAACTTTGGAACAAGAAGTAGGTATGACAACTTGCAAGAGGACAATCTGTTGAACGTGTAGCATTAGTATAAAATAAATGCATTATTTTAGAAGATTTATTCTTTTATTAAGATTACCTTAGAAGAAGTGCTCTGTATGAATGGGATTGGAGGGCTATTTCATGGGCATTCCACAAAGCAGAGCAACAAATAAGATTACATCAACAATAAGCAAATTGTATGTATTTTATTGTAGTTTTTGACTCCTTAAAAAAAAACAAACCTACTCATCAATAGGAGCAAGACAGATAAGATCTTAACTGAGATTAATACATAGGTGCGCATGAGATTAGTTCTCTTAAGTAATTCAGAGTCAGTACCTGCAAAAGTGAGGCATGCATGCAAGTCAACATAGCTTTCAAAGCCCCAGGCTAGCTAACAAAACAAAGGCATAGCAATTTTTGCTGTTTATAAGTAGAGTTACAAAAAATGCAGACAATTATATTTTAATTAGCTGAATTAAAAATGTCATATAAAGAATTATGTAAAAGGACACCCTTCCCCCAAAGAAATAGTAAGTTTTCAAGACAGCACAACAACCAGTTATATTTCTTGTGGGCACCAAGATAAAAATTCATAGCAAATAATGTAACCATAAAAACCGCTGTTGTAAAGAACTTGAACTTGCTTCAAACAGGGTTCCAGTTTACTTGTATTGATCAAAGGATAAACATAATGGTAAATTTCTGAGTATGAATGGAATGCTTGTACTTTCTATTTAGCTCCTACTTGGTAAATGACCCCAGGAAAGGAAACAACCTAAAGCAAGTGACTTTTATCCCCTAACACATCCTCAGCTGTTACTGTTTCACAGAATCATAGAAATGTAGGGATAGAAGGAACCTTAAGAGGTCATCTAGTCCAGTCCTTCGTGCAAGACCAAGTACACTAGATCATTGTGACAGACTGTACCCCATGTACATTCTTTTTACAAAACCATTTTGTACAAAGTATACCTTGTGAGGTATCACTTGAAAACTCAATCTGCTGAACATTATTGTCCAGGTAAAATGTGTGGCAACACTGTATGTAAATGTATAAGATTCTACTGTATAATATTGCTGTGCCAAGTTCCAAACCAGGCCCAAACCAGTTTTTCAGACACAAAAGACATATTGACACCCCGGCCAAGTATCAGCATAATCAAATGGACTATCGTGGGCTATCAACCGATTAAGAAGCCATTCTTTGGCCGGAAGAAGGGTAAGAACGAGAACTTTACATATTGGCAATGGAACAGCTGAGGGGTTTCTGGGTAAACAGACTGACTGTAACCTGAACCCCAGCTGGAGGTAATCCTCAAAGAGGGGAGAACGGTATAAGAATGAGAAACAGAGGCTTCCAAATCGACTCTCTCTACTCCACTCGTCTCTGCTCACAGCAGCAACACCTGAAGAAACACTGAACCGTAGGAGGGGTCCTGGTCTGGAGGCTTCCAGTCAATAAAGACTGTGAAGAGTACAGGGTGAGAAAAACCTTTGCTTTGAATCCATTAAGCTTGCTAAATTGGATACCAATCTGCATTTTATCTTTTATTTTACTTGTAACCCATTCTGACTTTTATGCCTCATTACTTGTAATCACTTAAAATCTATTTTTCTGTAGTTAATAAACTTGTTTTATTATTTTATCTAAACCAGTGCGTGTTTGGATTGAAGTGTTGGGAATCTCCACTTGAGATAACAAGGTTTGTGAATACCATTTTCTATTAATGAAATGCATAGTCCAGTAGAGTGCTGGCCAGTAAAAGATGCACATTTCTGGGAGAAGATCTGGGACTGAGAAGTTGCTGGCATCGCTCTGTATGTAATTCATGAGTGACTGGACGCAGCATTCAAGTAATTCAGTTGGAACGGATTTTACATGTTAGAGGCTGTGTGTGCAAGTGGTTGCTCTACCAGCGAAGCAGTATAAAAGGCATGCCAGGTTAGAGATTTGAGAGGACACAACGGTTCAACAGTTCAAATTGTACTCTCAGGAATGTCACAATCTTCCTTGACAGGTGCTTGTCTAACCGGTTCTTTAAAATCTATAATGATGAGGATTCTACAACCTCCCTCGGAAGTCTATTTCAGTGCTTAACTATCTTTATAGTTAGATTTTCCAAATATATAACCTAAAGCTCCCTTGCTACAGATTAGGCAATGACTTCTTGTGCTACCTTCAGTTGACATGGAAAACAATTGATCACCGTCCTTTTTATAACAGCTCTTACCATATCTGAAGACTTATCAAGTCCTCCCTCAGTCTTCTTTTCTCAAAACTAAACATGCCCGGTTTTTTTAACCTTTTCAAATAGGTCAGGTTTTCTAAACCTTCTATCATTTTGGTTACTCTTCTCTGGACTCCCTCCACTTGGTCCAGATCTTTCTTGAAGTGTGGCGCTCAGAACTAGATACAGTACTCCAGCTAATGCCTCACCATGGCCAAGTAGAGCAGGACAGTTACCTCCCATGTCTTACATACGACACTCCTGTTAATACACCTCAGACTGATATTAGCCTTTTTTGCAACTGCTTCGTATTGATGACTCATTTTCAATTTGTGATCCACTATACCCCCAGATCCTTTTCAGCAGTACTACTGCCTAGCCAGTTATTCCCCATTTTGTACTTGTGCATTTGATTTTTCCTTCCTGAATGTAGTACTTTGCACTTAACTTTATTGAATTTCATCTCATTGAATTCAGACCAACCCTCCAATTTTCAAGGTGATTTTGAATTTTAATCCCATCCTCCAAAGTGCTTGCAACCCCTCCCAATTTGGGATCATCTTCAAATTTTATAAGCATACTCTCCATTCCAAAACCAAGGTGCTAATGAACATACTGAATAGTACCAGACCCAGGACTGACACTTGTGGGACTCCATTAGATACATCCTCCCAGTTTGACAGCAAACTGGTTGGTTGATAACTACTCTCTGAGTACAGTCTTTCAACAAGTTATGCACCCATCCTACAGCAATTTCATCTAGACCACATCTCCCTAATTTAATTATGAAATTAAGATATATCGTGTCTATTGCTTCCTCCCTATCCCCAAGGCCAGTAACCCTCTCAAAAGAAGGAAATTAGGTTGGTTTGGAATTATATGTTCTTGACAAATCCAAGGGACTATTCCTTATAACCCTATTATCCTCCAGGTGCTTACAAACTGATTGTACAGTAATTTGTTCCAGTACCTTTCTAGGTATCAAAGTTAGGCTGACTGGTCTATAATTTCCTCGTCCTCTTTGTTCCCCTTTTAAAAGATAGGTACAATGTTTGCCCTTCTCCAGTCCTCTGGAACCTCACTGGTCCTCCATGAGGTCTCAAAGACAGTCCTTAATGGTTCCAAGATTGCTTCAACTAGTTCCTTAGGATCAAGCCCTGCCGACTTGAATACATCTAACTTACCTAAATACAGTGGAACCCCATTAATCCAATCTCACTGGGACAGGGGCCAGATCGGATAATCAAAAATTCAGATAATCTGCAGAATGGACAAAGAGCTTCAGCTCTGGACAGTGGGCTCCCACTGTCAGCTCCGCTGGCTGCGGCTGAAGCATCAGTTTCCCATATTCCTGTGTGTGCACACTAGTGGCTTGGTTAATACTGAGAGCCAGATAGTAGAGGCTCGAATAAAGGGGGTTCTACTGTATTCTTTAACCTGTTCTTTCCCTATTTTGGCTTATACTCCTTCTTCCTTGTTAATATTAATTGTATTATGTATCTGGTCACAATTTACCTTTTTAGTGAAAACTGAAGCAAAATAGGAACTAAACACCGCAGCTTTCTTCATGTTGTCATTTAAGCACTCTCCTTCATCTTTGTCTTACTCCTAATGTATTTAAAGAACCTCTTCTTATTGCCTGTTATGTCCCTTATTAGATTTAACTCATTTGTGCCTTAGCCTTTCTGATTTTGCCCCTACAAGCTTGTGTTATTCTTCTGCAGTCCTCCTTAACAATATGTCGATGTTTCCACTTTGTGTAAGATTCCTTTTAGATTTTCAGGACTTTAAAGAGCTCCTGATGGAGCCATGCTGGCCTCTTACTATTCTTCATATCATTCCTTCACATTGGGATAGTTTGTTTTTGTATCTTTAAATAGCGTCTTCTTGAGAAACTGCTAGCTCACCTGAACTCATCTTTCCCTTACATATTCTTCCCATGGGACCTTACCCCTGTTAAAATCTGCTTTTTTGAAGTCATTGTCCTTATTCTGCTGCTCTCACTCCTTCCTTTCCTTAGGCCTGGTCTAAGCTGGGGGTGGGGAGAAATCCATCTAAGTTATGCAACTTCAGCTACGTGAATAACGTAGCTGAAGTCGACGTACTTAGATCTACTTACTGCGGTGTCTTCACTGCGGTAAGTCAATGGCTGATGCTCTCCCGTCAACTCTGCCTGCGCTTCTCGCCCTGATGGAGTACCAGAGTCGATGGGAGAGCGCTTGGCGGTCAATTTATCGTGTCTAGACTAGATACGATCACTGCCTGTCGATCCAGTGGGTAATGTAGACAAACTCTTAGAAAAATGAACTCTATCACTTATTAATCACTTTCACCCAAACTGCCTTCAACTTTTAAATTCGCAGCCATTTCTTCCCTATGTGTCAGAATCAAAACTAAAATGTCCACCTGGCTGCTTCCTCCACCTTCTGAAACAAAAAGTTGTCCCCCATTCATTCCAAGAACTTATTGGAAATTTTGAATTTTGATGTATTACTTTTCCAGTGGATGTCAGGGGAATTAAAGTCCCCCATAACTACTAGGTCTGTGTTTTGGAGATTTCTGTTATTTTGTTCTCAAAAAGCCTCATTTACCTCCTTTCTGATTTCCTTATTAAGCTTATCTACTGTTCTTCTATTATATATTGCTATTCTTTTCCCTACCTCACTTCTCTCAAACAGATTATATATTTTCTTTCTAATCCTTTTCTCTGCCCTGACAGAGATTCTACCATTGTCTTCAGCTTCATCCTCCAGCATTTTGTCTATAATTTCCTCCAGCTAAATAGAAAAAAAGAAAGCCTAATTAAAGATCAGTTCTATTCCCTTGACTTTCACGCTATTTTCTTATATCAAAAGGGAGATTGCCAGGGAGAGCACGTGATGAGAACTCTGATGGAAACAACATTTTCTTACCCCCTCTGAGGAAAGAAGCAGAATCTTTAGAAGATCATTGGTAATTTTGTTGAGAATCAAGGGCCAAACTTCCATATAGCCGAGGCACGCTGTTGTGCTCACAAAATATACAAGCCCTTTCACTTGTGCAGTGAAATCAGATCACACACACAAATTATGAATTAGATGGATAGGCATGCACAGTTATCTGATTTGCACATGCAATTGTTGCCTAAATAAATTTAAAAGACTGGCTTCAGATTATCAGGTTCTCATCTCACAGACAAGCGTTCATTTAATTTTCTCACTATATCAAAACCAAAAGAAAACTTATACATTCAGAAATTTAGGGAAGATAACATTCACTAAAATTTAATTAAAGAGCTTTTAAAAATACATTACACATTTATGCCCTGTCTCCTTTGCGACAAACCTGCTAGCAGCAACTGTGTTTAAATTCACATTTCTGATCCAGTTTCCTTGGCCTGTATGGTCTAGAATTTTTTTCATCTGACAACCCTGTTAGACTTCAGTTATTAACTGATGCAACAGATTACCTAAGGGTTGGGATAACCACTTTACAGTTTAGTCCATAGCACTGGTATGTTGTTATGGTTCTCAGATAAAATATTCCTGTCCAAGGAAAGAGTGCTAGAACTCAACTAAACAGCAGTTTTGAAATGCAATTTGAACCGGCACGGTTCTGATCCACGGGGGATCAAGGCTTTATATGGACTTGATGGTTAACATATTACAGAAATGTATGTTTGTGCATGTAATTTCAAAATGACCACATGTATAAACACTCGCTCCATAAATGTAAATAAGAGTGGTGGGCGAGAAAACTGTTCCGTCTATCATTGCCATGGAAGTAGGCAGGCTGCGATTTGGCAAGTGCTGCCCCAGGCTCCCCTGTCTTAAATGCGCTGGCGACCTTGTCATAATATGACTTCATGCACTTTTATTGCCTCTAATTTTTTATGGGGTCTATTTTATCCATAACATGCATCTGTAACTTTGTGCACATTTAGGGGAGGAGTCCCTACATCGCTAAGATACCAAATATAAAATTTCATGTTAACATATTAACCATTAAATGTAAGCATCACTTAGTACTTATTATGGAGAAATGTTTGCAAACTAGCAAGTACCAAAACAAAGTCAATGGCTAAGATCATGGATACAAACATCTTTTCAGTTCCAGAGTCCCTAACTCAAAATTGCCTACCTATGCAGCTGAACTGATAATAGTTACTAGATGGTTACTACAATGGTGGAAAGAGAGTAAAACTGGAAATAAGAAACAAAAAGTACATAATCTTTGGTGATGATCAAACATTTTTCTTCTTTGAACTCTGTGCAATAGAGCTTTCCAGAAAAAAGAATCAAAGAATTGTCAAGCGGGCTCAAGGGCTCATAGGTGCTTTGGGAGTAGAAACAGGTGTATGTAGATCTGCCATACCATACCGTTGCATTTCTTTACTGGGGGATGGATAGCTTATTTCATGCAGTATTGTACCTTATAATGGTAAAAAGCCAGAATGGGTCTGTTGAGTGGAAAGCAGACAGATCCTGTGGACAGAACAGCCACTGCTGGTTTCATCACATTCAGTGTGGCACCAAATGGATACACAAAAGTGAGAGCCCTGCAGAAAATACAACCATTTCATTAGTGTCTGCTAAATTTCAGAGGCTAGATTTCTTAACTTTAGATTTGTCGATGATATTCCTGATAAGTGACTGATGTTCAATTCTGCATTGTTTGTTTAGAGTTAGAGGCATGAGTAATATTAACCAAGCTGAGACTCAGATTTTCAAATGCATAATTTGGCACACGTACAAGTCATGGTCTGTGTGCATAAATCCTGACTTGTGTCAGGAACAGTGCAGGCTCACAAAAGCACACTTTTGAAATCTTGCTGACTAGAATAAGATGTGGGAATATTTCCAGAGTTTTTTATGGTTGGAATTTTCAAGAAGTTTAAGTGTAACGTTTTGGTTATCTCTCAGGTATTCCTAGATACGAGAGACAAGTAGGGGTAATTAACTCTCAAATAAATATTCTGGAACATAACTATACTAAATGTTTCTGCACTTAAATTCTTTCCTATAATGAGCACCGTAATCAGTACAGCCCCGAAATAAACCATAAGAAAGAACACAATTAGCTACAGCTGTTTGTGGAAAGGCTGATGGTTCTTCAGTATTCTTCTGCCCAGAGCAAAGTAAAGGAACTACAAGGGGAGAGAAAGAGGGAAAACCACCAAATTCTTCAGGTGTATGAGTTTCCCAGGATTAGCACCTTTCCCCCCCTTCTATTGAACTCTTCTTGCCTATGCCTAATCCACTCAATTCTATACGTCTGCAAGGTACTAAGGATGTTCACCATTTTATGTCCTTTAAGCCTTTTCAAATCCACATACAAGGTTCATTTAATCATCACAGGTCTGGACAGTAGGAATAGATGGGACTCCCTTCAGAACCCTTCATTGTTACTCAGATTGGCTGGCAAGCGTTGCTAAAGAATTCATCCATTTAGGATTGAAACTAGAGAAGCAAGAAGCGGAGACCAACAAATGAATTAGGAATCTTAACAGAAGCACTGTGTACTTCAGTCATTGCCCTGGCCCAATAATTTAACTCTTCATGACTGTACTAAATCTTTCCTTTGAAAAAGCTAGTGAAGAAAATACACTTACTGTGAGTCATTTCCACTGTTGTCTTCATCTATTATCCCAAGCACTGCTTTCCCTGCAGCTCTGCTGATTTCCCTAGAAGAGGTGGAAACACAAATCTGATTAAAGTTACATGAATTTGCAATAATGTTACTCACAGATTTAGATCCCCAAAACAATTACCTATTCAAAACTCCATTGGAGACTAAGGCTTCCTTAGGATGAAAGTACTTATAATATACATTTCTCACCACAGCATCTTAAAGAAAAAAGAAGAAATTTAAATCTTTTATGGAGGCAGTTTGTCTAGTACTTAGAACATAAGACTGAGAGTGATGAGATGTGGGTTCGATTCCTATTTTTAATGCTACAAGCCTGGGGCTTATTTGGTTCCCAGCGTAACTTGGAACAGCCTTAACCTATGGCCTCTTTTTGGACTGCAACTTCAGGCATCAAAAGACAGTGGGAACACTTATTCCAAAATTCAGATGAAGATATGCAGACACCTAATCACCTGAAGTGCAGGCACAATCATGTGTCTACCTGCCTTCACTTGAACCTGCAATTATTTTCAAGCACAGACAGGGAGGCCAGGTTTTAAAAAAAAAAAAAAAATCTGGTTCAACAAGTTCAAATTTTTATTGTGTGTCTTAGAGGTTTCCAAAACTATGATGAACTCAATAACACTCTGGTGCAATAAAGAGTGAACCCACTACCCAACTGCCACTAAAACATCTGAAAAATGTCTTATTTGGTGAGGACACACTGCTTATTTACACTTGGATATTGCAAGAACAGCTGAATGGAATTTTACGAGGCTGCAAAAAAATTCACTGCTGGGTTGAGAATGAGTATGGAATAACTCAGCTCACAGACTATTTTTCTCTCTCCTAAAAGACAAACACTTGAGGAAAAAGAAGGCTTATAATGGAAGTGGCTTTGAAACCCTAATTTGTAATAAGAACCATACATGGTTTGCATCTACAAAAGTTCAAGTTACCATTATTGACCATGATTCCATACTCTTCTAACAAGAAGTTAATATTGGTGTCATATCGGGATTCACCACCTTCTCCCAGCATCACCAGGATATCCCCACCCTCTTCTAGATATTTCTTCAGAACCTCAAACTAAAACAATAAGATGGAAAAAAACACAAGAACACAGTTAGAGGCGCTAAGTATAGAACTCCAAAGAACTATATGGAAATGAGGCATAAATGGTTTCAGCTACTTGCAACCAACTTGACTCTAGAAGATCAAGAAGCGTTCAAATCTAAATGTATGTAGAATAGGCTTTCCAAACAAAAATGCTATTACAGAATGTTTTGGGTCACCTTTCTTCGGTCTTCCTAGACAAATCTGGAAGCATAATTAATCTGCAAACCATTGTTGGCTTTTTTTCTTCTTTATGAATATTTCTTACCTCAGCTGCAGTGAACTTCTCTCTGGGCCCTGCTGTAATCCACAATTTTACCCCAGCTAGCTTCTCGGATGTGATCTCATCTTTTAAACTACGAATAAGTTAATAAAGAGACATATTACATTGTAATTTTAGATACAATCCACGACTGAATCCTGGGCTGCCTTTACATAAAGAACTAGGCAGAGGAACACAAAGCAAGTCACTTCAGTCAGTCACTTTACATCTGTTTACCCTGGTTTTAAATTTGATATTTTATTATCTCAAATAACTACCAATTTGAACTGACGAAGGAAAATAAGTATTCTAGAAAGACACTGTGGCAGATCCACAGCTGATGTAAATTGTTGCAGCTCAGTTGACTTCACTAGAGCTATGGCAATTTATATCAGCTGACAATCAGCTCCACTCTTATTTTTCTGTGTTTTAATTCTGATTACAGCAGGTGGGTGACCAATACCATAAACTTGATGTACAAAGGCTAGGGTTCAAATTATCTTGACATTTTTTCCTATCATTAGATATTCCATGCAGCACAGAGGAGTACACACACATTTGGAACCTCACCATTATCAGCTAAGCTCTGTCCTCTCCACTGCCACAGTACCTGAAAGTTCAAAATAAAAGTCCTCCAACACCATGCAACAGCAGAGCTACAGCTAATGCCACTGGGTAGAACCAAAGGAAATAATCCTTTTACCTTTCTATTAACATTCCCAAACATTTCTATATTATGAATTACCCCCCAAAGTCAGCATTAAATCAGTCGGTCCCATCTCCAATTAGCTTACATGTAATTACTTGTTCATGTCAGTTTCAATCTTGTGTTATAAAGCATGAAAAAGAGAGCTGAAGAAAATCCCCCACCTCTGTATCTTCCATTTACTACGAAGCCTCTTCTGTAAGGACTTGTAACCGCTGTTGACAGTGAAAATCTCCTTTTTGGATGCATTGAAGACTATGGTGTTCCGAAGCTCTGTCTCCATAGTGACCTCAAGAATGAAAGAACGGAGAGAACCAAAATCAGAAAGGAAGAGCAAAAAAAGGTACTATTTCAGACCAGTCTCTGAATACGGAACGCATGCACGCAGATGCTGGCTGGCGTGGAATGTGTTGGTGCAGGAACGGAACATCTGAACTAGAAGAATTAGGCCTAAAGATTTCTTTGTTGTTGTTACTTAAAACGTTTACTGCAATTTTAAACAACATACAGACAGAAATATAAAATAAAACTAAAACCTACAAGAAACTTCCCTACACAATAAAAAGAAGAGGCAACATCCCAAGAAGCACCCAAGCTTTCTCATTTTGTTTCCTCAATATATGTAATCAAAAAGTTATATTAGATTCACTAACATATTGTATTGAAAAAAATCACAAAAAATAACATTAAAATGAGAGCTGCAATCTTTTATGGTTTTCAAAGAACAAATAGGACACCCCTGAGCTAAACTATTTGGACCAAGGACCTTGTCTACTTTCTGTAAAGTAGCTACCACGCTGTTGGAATTCTATAAATAAAATAAATAACCACTACCTCTGGACCCTCCTGGAAGTCAAGGTTGAAGCATAATCGCAGAGAATCAGACGGTTAGCTGGTTAAACTTAGGCTATGTTGACACTAGCATTTTCTGGCAAGTTTCACTATTGCACTACTAACCTGTTGCAGCAAAGGCATTTTTACCACTGAGTCACCTAACCCAGTTCAAAGCAGGTCTAAACACAGAGATAAATCTTTGGGACAACAGGGACTGTCTTTTTGCTCTATATTTGTACAGTGCCTAGTACAATGGGGTCCTTATTCAGAGCTGGGGGTCCCAACTGCTACTGCAATATAAATAATAAAGCTATCTATCTCCATACTAGAGGGTAGCACAATGCATGCGGTGGGGGGGAGTAGAGGGGAAGGGCACAGAGCAGGGGTGGCCAACCTGTGCATGAGCAGGAACCAGAATTTACCAATGTACCTTGCTAAAGAGCCACAGTAATACATCATCAGCAGCAGCCCCTGCTCCCAGCACCTCCCACCCACCAGTAGCCCGGCCAATCTGCACCTCACCCTCCCTTCCTTCCCACACCTCCTAATCAGCTGTTTTATGGGGAGGCAGGGGAGGGGGAGGAGCGAGGGCAGGGCAGGCTCAGGGGAGGGGGCGGGAAGAGTGGACAGGGGCAGGGCCTGTGGCAGAGCCAGGGGTTGAGCAGTGAACACACACACACACCCCGGCCCATTGGAAAGCTGGGGCCAGAGTCGGTGCCTGGACCAGGAGCCGCATATTAACTTCTGAAGAGCCGCGTGTGACTCCGGAGCCACAGGTTGGCCACCCCTGGCACAGAGCACCGGGGTGGTGCACCTTCACCTACTGTCTCCATGGGCAGCGTAGCGCAGTGCGTGGTGGGGCGACCCCTGACCCACTGTCTCCGTGGGAGGGGTGGCACGCTGGCTCTGCCTGAGCGATGGGGGAGCTATGCTCTCTGCGACGGGGTGGCACAGTGCACACGGGGGTGGGCAGTTGGCGCTACCCCTTGACCTGGTGTCTCCATGGGCCTCCGCTCCACCTCCTCTGCGTGCCCCTCACAGTCCTACCCACCATCGCCCCGGCGGGAGGGGGGGCGTGAACTCCCGGGCCTTACCCGCGGAGTCGCCACCATCTTCCTGCGCCCCGCCGCCGACCTCGGAGCGGTAACTAAGGGCCGCTCCTTGCCTAGCAACCGCCCTTCTGCGCACGCGCAGGGAATGAATTCAACGGAACACGGCGGCCGGAGCAGGCTTCACGTGATGACATCACGCCGGCTCCGCCCTCTCCCACCATTCCAGGGGACGGGAAAGTTGCACCTACTATTTCCTGGCACGGGGGGGAGTTGGACTCTACCATTCTCGATGGGAGGGTGACGTGTGCAGGGATAGCGCCTGGGCCCCACGGAGCGGCGTGGCCCCTTCACTCGCTCTGAGCGCCAGCTGCTCCGTGCAGCGCTGCTCCCGGCACCTTGCTCCCCGGGCTGCTGGAGGGGAGGGCTCGGGAGCGGGCACGGGGCCAGCGCTGGATGGGCTCCCACCCAGGCGGTTACCCAGATCCTGCCCTTCTCACTGGGCGTGCAGCTGCTGTCCATTCCACCCCCCCTCTTTTTTGGGGGGGAGAGGGTGGGCTCCAATAAGCCATCACTAGGTGGTGATAGCCTCCGAGCCACAGCTGCAAGTGTGAGAGTTTTAAGTTGGTCACAGAGTCTCGGGGCGAGGGGGCACCCGCTGATGCTCCAGCAAATGGACAGCTAGATAGCTCACTGAAAACCCTGGTTTTTTTCCTCCCCGCCCCCTCCCCCAGAATTGCAGACAAGCTGTGGAGGTGAATAAGTTAGAGACCATTCACTTTAAAATAGGACTTTTTTTATTAATATCTTCAGTATGTACAATAAAGGTAAAATTGGGCAAGAATAAAAAAAAGTTCCCGTGCTCTTTTCAATGCAAGTATCACCAGTGCTCCAGCCTGTTAACAGAGCTTCTAGAGCAGAAGACAATATGCTCATTTGGACCAGTCTTTAGAAATCCAGGTTTTTCATGCTAATATCGTCCATGTGTGAACAAGTAGAGGAGAGTCTCAAAACACTATGAATAACATTTAAAAAACAAAAACAACCCAGACACCAGCATTTAAATTAAGGCAGAATGAATAAATTAGCCTTTAACACACACACACACACACACACACACATATATCAGATTCCATTTAAATTTGGGAGCCTTTTTCAAAAAAACCTCCCACCTACATCATCTGGGCACTCAGATTGGCGGTTGCCCATGGGGTATTCAGTAGGTACTACTACATGTAGGATTTGGAGCACTTTCATACTTGGGAGATCTGAATTCTTTAATCCTGGCGGGAAACCAGTTCTCATTCCTAGGGTGCAGAGCTCCCAGCCTGGAAGGGTGGAATGTAGTTAGTCCAACACTCAGATTATGCACAAATTTGTCAAGTGATAGCTTGAGTGAAGTGGCTATGTCAAAAAGACTCCAAACCAGATCCTTAGCTGGTGTAAATTACTGTCACTCCACTGTAGTCAACAGAGCTATGCTGATTTACACCAGCTAAGGATCTAGCCCTTCCTTTAAAAAGAAGGGAGGGAAGATATTACTAAACACACATTAGTACCGGTCAGTTACCCTTTGGCTTGTTGTTAACACACGTTACTAAGGAAAGTTCAGGGAGTTTTGCTGGATGTGCATATTTAAGTAAAGAATCCTATGCCATCTTCCCATCACAGTGACTCGTCACAGCATAAAGAAAGGCCCGGTCTACACCTAAACCTTAGGCTGACAGAGCTATGTCACTCAGGGCTGTGAATTTTTCATACCCCTGGGAAACATAGTTAAGTCTGTCGACCTAAGCCCCAGTGTAGACAGCCCTCCCACAGAAGACATCTTTCATTGACTTAGCTCCTGCCCCTCGGAGAGGTGGATTTTACTACAGCAACAGACGAACTCCTTCCATTGCTGTGACTACACTACAGTGATGTAACCGCAGCGCTCCAGCTGAGCCACGGTAGCATTTCTAGTGTAGACATACCCGTAGTGTGAACAGATTTCCTCCTCACCGTTGATGGAGCAATCAGACAAGAGGGAGAAGACAGACTAGCTACATGTACGAGGCACAGTTACACAGACACTTCCAAAATAAGTAGGCCAGTTGTTATTGGGTAAGTGACATGTAGTGTACTGAGATGTGGTTTTGGCATGAATGCTTCTAAACATAAATAAGACCATGGAGTTAACTTCAATTCTGTAGGAGTAAAATCTCCAACTAGGATGATCAGCAGCCTCCCTGCCAGAGAAAGGGAAAAGCGTTGGGCATTACAGTGAAAGAGTTCAGGTCCATGCCAGTTAGTGTGCTTGTCCAAATTTCTTTAACAGTCATGAGCAGAGGACAGTGCCACTTTTAAAAATAAGATCATAAGTTAAAATTAGGTTTCCCCAGTCCTATTTAAAAACCTGAAAGTCCTCATCAGTCGGTGCATAAGAAAACCCTAAAAAAGCATCTGAGACACTGGAGCCGCTGGCTGCTAAGTCAGGAGTCCGGGTGATGGAGCTCGAGACCACTTCTTGGGTGAACTCTGGGTCAAAATGTCGCAGATCAGCAGGACCAGACTGAAAAAAGAAACCATATATAACATCATGTCAGATTAACAGGCCTAAGCTTTCAGGCAGGTTATTTCTTTAGACAGAACTGTTTTAGACAACTGTGACCAAACCCTTATTTTATGTTCCCACAAAAGAGACACTAGCTTACAGTTCAGGAAGTATACTTAAACAGCACTGAAGAAGATGAAGTCACCAACTAAGACAACTAGCAGTGGGGCAGGGGAAGAGGGGGAATTCTGCAACACACACGGTCTCTCTCCCCCCTCTCCTGCCCCAGAACTTGCCGACAGCATCCCCCGATAAGTGGATCAACTAGATGCGCTGAATGTACTATGGGAAGATGAGGAGGAACAGACAGGAAGAAGATGCAAGTTACTTTTAAGTTTCCAGAGGATGATGATTTCTGCCCCCCAGCCCCACAATACCCCACATCTAGAATCAGCTAGTATATTTGAACAACAGACCTTTGACCAGTGCAATCTCAGTTCCCTTCCCACTAAAATTATGCAGGGGAACCCTGCATCAGCCACCACTACTTACCACATTGGGGTTGAAGGGAGGAGTGATCCTCTTGTGATACAAGTCATCCCAGTTTATTGGGCTGAAGAACACATGATTCTTTATCTCCAGCTGTAAAGAAGGATGAAGGGGGGAAATAATCACTCTCCCACCACCTTCCTCCTCAACCATCCCTTTTCCAACAGTCACCAAATAGGCACAGGCTCCCCGATAGTGGATGGTTGTAGCTTTACAGCTACATACAGCATGTTGGAAAAAAACAAGTTGTAATGTTCCTCATCTTGGCAGATTGGAGTATCCCCAACACAAAAGACTTCATGAGTTTACTGTATCCTGTTTATGCTACAGAAACACTACATGCTGGCAACCCAGCCCTTCCCCACACCTTTAACCCATGACAGCATAAAGTCCCCTTCGCAGGACTTAACATCCTGTGCCCAGTTCTGAACCACAGCTTCCTGTTGTGTTGCTAACATGGAGCTTTACCACCACCACCACCCCCGCCACACACACACACACACACACACACACTCCCAAAGCCACCTCGAAGTTATATTTAGATACACCCCTGAAGAGACTGCAATTCACAAGTCACACACAAGCAATATCATGGTGCTTTAAAAAGCTGCCAAGCCAAGCCTTATGGGACACTGCAAGGAAGCTAGGGTCCAGGGCTTGAATAATGAACGTTTACCCAGAGGAAGCTTTCTTTCTGCTATGGAGAGATGTCCTCCCAGTTGACACTGAAGTCTTCCTAAGACTAAGATCAACCAATGCAGAACAGATATGAAAGAGAAGAGGGGCTCGGAGGAGGGGTGGGATTGGTTGTCTACGAAGAGAATAGGTTAGGATGGGAAACACCACGTACAAAATCCATCTTGGCCCCCAGCCTCCTCTTCTGGTCTTTGTGAAGCAGTCCCTGTAAGATATCACAAGCTGCCATGGTCTTGGTTCCTTGGATCTGGAGTGGCTGGTGTAGAATATTGTCATACATCTGAGACACATCCTGGCTGTAAAAGGGAGGCTGATAGGGAAGAGAAGAGAAAATCAGCTACATAAAACATGAGATCTGTAATGAAGCATGCAAACAATTTCACAGCTGAGAGAGACAATTCATCACATTCCATTTCTACAGGTTTCAGAGTAGCAGCCGTGTTAGTCTGTATTCACAAAAAGAAAAGGAGGACTTGTGGCACCTTAGAGACTAACAAATTTATTTGAGCATAAGCTCCATTTCTACAGTGTGTGCGAGGGAGAGAGAGACAGGTGAAATGCTTTCATTTCAGTAATATTAGGATGACTATTTCCACTAGTACTTTCATTTATGTTGGGATCATACATGTCATGGTACCCTATACATGGAACTACTGCTTTAGTGGCCCATAGCCTTCAAGAGGTCATGGCTTTCTTTAAGGAGAGTCTCTTTGCTCTCCACCAAGCTGCAGTGTGTGATTTTAAGACTCACCAACCCAAACAGCATCTCATAGAGGACAGCTCCCAGACACCACCAGTCTACTGTTCTGTCATAGGGTTGTTTTCTTAGCACTTCTGGGGCCAAGTACTGTGAAGAGTCAGAGAGCTTTGTTTGAGACAAGTTACAAAGGCTTCCATGACTACATATTACAGGTTGCAGTTAATTAATCTCTAAATAAATGCATTAGGGAGGTTTGGAGCTGTGATTTCCATCAGATTTTTTTTTTTAGTCGAACTTCCCCCTGCCACAAGACTGGATCTAGAGCTAAATTTTTCCTAAAGTTTGAGAAGCTCCCATCTTCCTATACGAAACTTGAGGAAGGGAGTTTTAACAAAACTCAGATCAGTGGTGTGGCTCTTTCCCCTAGATGTACAGCTATTTCCAAAATCATGAGTGGCTGACTAATACAGTTCAATTAATCTGGGAAGTTGCGGATTTCCCATCCCTGTATCTAGCATGAAGACACCTGTTATGTCAAGAGGTACTGGTGACTGCTAGATCACAAGCCTCTTTGAGACTGGGTGTGAATGTACCCTTCCATAAACATAACCGTCAGGATAAGTTAATCAGAAGCCCCCTCATCTAAGATCAAAGTGGGTTGTGAATCTGCCCAGGAGGTTGGACTGAGTGGGTGGAAAGGGTTGCTGAGTAAGGGGGAAGAGGTAGAACACAGAGAAACTAAGAACAGACAGAACAGAGAGAGGCAGAATCATAAAACAAGAAACCCAGGCAGGAGTTGGTGAGGACAGCATGACCCTGGAGAAAGCTAGAGGGAGTTTTTGGGTGTATTGGCTAACGAGGCTTGGGGCTATAAGCTAAGAAACTGCTTCATTTGTTCTTGGTTCCTCCTGCATTCAGAGAAGCAGAACTTTGACACAGTTGTATTTATTTACAAAGCAACACCTGATTATTGCCAGTTTCTACTCCCATCTGGCACATCCCTAGGGCCCCAAAATTTGACTAACTGCTTGGTTCAAAAAGAGGCAACAACACTCTTAAGAGAAAGCAGGGGTCATTTCACGGGGGGGAGAGTAGTGAGTTAACAAGAGACATTTGATGAATGACCGAACTGGGAGCAGGTAAATTACAGAAGTGTCTGCGAGTGGTCTTAGCCAGCTCCACAGACTATACTGGTAGACACTGCCCAGTAGGGGAGTTTTATGCTCTCAGTGCTGCTACTGCAGGGCATGGATCAGCGTTGACGTCGCACTCCCCATCAGTACCCGTCCCGAGCCGGGAATGCTAATAATCCAACCAGCAGACCAAATTCAGTGACGAATCCTGATCATGGGCCACCTGAGGCACGTTGCACATATGCTAAGAAGAAATGCTGCTACTTACATATTGTAAGATCCACATGCAAGATTTCAATAGTGCTTTACAAAGACAACAGCACACCAGACACAGTGGCATGTAGCTATTTTACACACTATCAATCTCAGCATCGAGTAAGAAGGAAGAGTCAATACATCTAAGCTTCCACAGAACTTGTACTGAATTCATATCATATGGCTCAGTTTGTGGGCCTCAGCAGTAAAACAGATGCAGCCTTAGAAGCATATCCTCAGTCGCTGTCCTGAGCTTATGCACAGCAAAGGGAGTTGAATGGAGCATGCCTGTAACATGGCAATGGACCAGCACTAGATTCAGGTGCATAAGCAGCTTTGTGTTGTGTGTATTCTATTTCTCACAGAAAATTCTGCAAGGAGGAGAATGGGACTGGAGTAGCTGCAAATACACCACAAGTCTCCCTTCCAGTTGCCTCCAGGGAGTCTCATTTCTACCCAGCACTCTAGTGAACAAAATCCAGGCTGGAGAGTTACTTAAATCTGGCCTGTTAGTGTTAAGGAACCAGAAGAGAACCCACCTATTGAATGCAGCCCCCTGCAGTCAGTCCGAGAAGCAGCAATGCTTCTAGCATTTCAGCTGCATTTGGGTGAGTGGGACAGAAAAGTCCGGTGAGTGGCAGGAAGCATTCCCTCTCCTATCCCAAGCAAAATATATTTTAAATTGTGTCCTTCCCCCACCGGGGACACATTTTACCTTGCCACCATGTACACCTGTGCTAGGAACAAAACATCCTATTCTTCTTGGTAGCATTTTATAGCCACTTTGCAGTGGTGATGTCACAAGGTGCAAGGCAGCAGAGAGGGTCACAACCTGCGTCATCAGGAGACACTAATGACCATGTGACTACGAACTTGGTGTTCTGTGAATTAAGGGACAGCAGCAAGTAAATATCTGGAACACTGTGCTCATAGCTACAGGAGTAAGTATTATAATCAAGGAGCGTAGCTACAGAAGGTCCTGGCTTCCAGTGTCAAGGTTGTTACCATGGCTACTGGAAGTCTTGCCAGGTTCTGTAGGAACTCCCATTCCAGAATCAGCAGGATTCCCCCCTCCCCAAAAAATTGCAACATTTTTAAAGCAAGTTTATTCAATGTACTAATCAGTTTAGTAAAAGCCATCCTGGCATAAGTTAAAATAAGGCCTTCTCTACACAGAAAAATTGTAATGCTTTAACTATAATAATGCAGTGAAAACAGTACAGCCCTGTCCCCGCCTCCCCTCCACACACACACACACCCCATGTGGACAGTTTTATCAGTGTAAAGTTATACTGATGTAAGCACCTTTATACTGGTCAGAAAATACAAAATATTTATACCAGTACAAAAGAGATGTGTGTGTAGACCAGGCCTATCTCCTGTTAATTGAATGCCCCAGTGAATTTCTCCTATTTGGATGTTTAAATCTTGAAACCTGATACCTGTGGAACAAAGTTTAAAATGAAAACAAAAAACCACATGGTAAAGATATAAGAGTCAGCCAGCAGTTTCTGCAAGGGTGGCATTGAGGGAAAAAAGCATCATTATTAGGTTTCAGAGAGGACACCCAATTGAGATGAGTAAGCTTTTTAGAGGTAATGGTTCACAGTCTATTGGTCCCATCTATACTCGGACCTTGCTACTGACAATGGTCATCAGCAATGGATCTTCCTCAACCCTTCTAAACCCCATGTCAAGAACAGACATGTTTTCAGCACCATTCCAGGGAATAGAAACTAGGCCTTCCTCAAACACACCCTATTAAACTCAGGCCTTGTCTTCACTTCTAAAACCACGAGGTAATTAATGCATACACGCTATCCTGAAGTTAAAACCACAGGGAAGACACTTTAGTGCAGACCTCCCCTAGTTTACCTTGTGGTAAAACTAACGTGCCTTGTCTTCACTGTGTTTTTACCTCAGGATACCTCAGACACATTACAGAGTAACAGCCGTGTTAGTCTGTATTCGCAAAAAGAAAAGGAGGACTTGTGGCACCTTAGAGACTAACCAATTTATTTGAGCATAAGCTTTCGTGAGCTACACTCCAATGAAGTGAGCTGTAGCTCATGAAAGCTTATGCTCAAATAAATTGGTTAGTCTCTAAGGTGCCACAAGTACTCCTTTTCTTCAGACACATTAGATGCCCCAAGGTAAAGGCTGTTTTTCAGCAGTAATAATCAGGTTTTCCCCTCTCCCACCAGTTGCAGTAGGAATGCAAGTGGTGGGAAGAAATGGGGGATGGCAGTGTTACATTGCTAAAGGGAATAATGCTTTTGTAAAAAGGTAATAAGAACTTGGTGAGACCCAAACTGCTAAGACAGCAATGGGGAACAAACAGGAAGTTTTAGCCTCCTTGTTTCCTTTCATGCAACATGCCAGCATATTCAGCACCGTGCACATCAAAAAAGAGGCTGAAACTGTCTCAGATCTTAGTCCCCGATTTTTCAGTGGTGCTGAATACACACAGCTCCGATTGACACCTCTGTGAGGAACTGAGCACCTGCAGCTCTGATGTATCAGGCAGTCAGTGCCTAAGTAATTCCCAGTTAACAGGAAAGTTGTCAGGTTGGCCATACTGTACCTCTGGGGTGCCACAGAAAGTTGATGTCGTTTCCTCTGGCTCCATTCCTTCTTTGCAAAGTCCAAAGTCTGTCAGCACTACGTGTCCCTAAAGAGAAGAAGGGATTTCAGCCTAATCAAGCTCTCCCTGGGGGCGCATGGATTTCTAGCCCCCTCTGCTGTTTTCATGTGCACCTTTCAGCTTCCCAACTGCTGGGCATTTATACATACAAACAGATTGAACAGGCAATCTGATGGGAGACTTCTCACAAATATATGGTTTAAATGTAGGCTTGTAAGGATTTGATTTTTATCAGTAAATGTCAATTTCACTGTACCCACAAACGTGTAAAAATATACACTTCTATCTGTAATAATAAAATTGACACTTTTTTCAAAGTTTTAGAAAAATGCTGCTTGAGAACTTTTTAGAGTTTAAGGATATTTACTTTGTATATATTTTGACATGTGATATTGACAATCTGTGTTTTAAAATGGTTATAAAGCTTTAACTTTCTGAACCTCAATGTCAGCTATCATTAAATAATTATCTGACCTCCCTGCAGTGTCTGACCCCCCCCCCCCCCAAAATTTCCTGCAACAGTGAAAATTTAGAAATTGGGGTCAACATTATTTAAAAAAAAACTGAAATAAAATTCTGCCATGCCTATGTATAAGTATCTATTCAGTCTAGCCAGACTGATCAGCATAGCACTGCCATCAGTTGAACAATTAGCCCTCGTCAATCCAGGGAATTGCTTGGTTAGCAGAGCTTTACAATGCTCAAGTCTAGGCCTGCCATATGGGAGACTCAAAATGTTTGTCCACGGGTTAGTACTCGGAAATAACAAAAATGCTAACATCTGAGCTCTGGGAAACTACAGAGTAGCAGGAGCGTGCATGTGTATGCAGAGTTACTATAGCTGCTTGCTTTACAAGTCAGTGTTGTGGCTCCCCCTACTGAATGGATTTGGGGTATACCAGGTTATTTGGTGGGGGTAGGGCGGGAGGAGAGAAAAGGGAGGCAGTAATTACTCATGGTTCCTCTCTGTCATACCCAAGCTAGCGGTCACAAAAAATTGTGAGGAAGCAGGCGTGTTTGCAAGAGAGCCGAACATACCTGGCAGTCCAGGAGGATGTTTTCAGGTTTTAAGTCCCTAGAAGAAGAGAAAGACGTGATGCTGAACCAGATTTTCCGAAGAGCTCTACGCACAACAACTCCAGTTGAAAAGAATGGGGACTGCAGGGGACTGAGAAATTTTGACAGTCTGGTGCACTGAGGTTTATGAGAACCCCATGACCATCAGGAACTCTAGAGTTACAGCTCTCACAGCAGCCGTGAATCAGCATAGTATGTGTTTGATATATAAATATTAGAGGCTGTTAGGCATATGTTTGAGTATCTGGTCGCACAGTGTGGCAGTTACAGCTGCTGTGGGAAACATCTTTAATTTCCTAACCTAAGACTTCGCCTCTAACGTGTTGTACTAACTACCTTCTCCTCCCATTCAAAACAAACCAAGCTAACTTCGCCCCCTCATCCCCAAAGCCAAAGCTCCATTCACGGACTGAAAGAGGGAAATCAGGGGATGGGTTATTTCCCTGAAAGGGGCTCAGGGAAATGCTACATGAGAAGTTCTGAAACACACGGGAGATCCTGGATTGAGAGCATAGTTCTGAAGGTAGCTGCCTAGTTTAGGAGGGCAACGCAGCCCTGCCCAGTAGTTCTGCACTTTGCTTTTAGGAGTGCCTCTTGTAACATGCCTGCATGGTTACAATATCAAGTAGTTTCCTGCCCCTCCTCAATATTATACACACACTTAGGGGCAGCAGGGCGGGGGGAAGGGAGGAGCAGGGAAGAGGGAGTTACTAGTGCCTGCTATACACACCAAGGATATGCACTCTACCTGTAGATTATGTTCAAGGAATGCAGGTACCCTACTGCACTGGCTACTTCAGCTGCATAAAAGCGGGCACGAGGTTCACAGAAACAGCGCTCCCTTTGCAGGTGGAAGAAGAGCTGAACAGAGAGGAAAGAGCCTGCTGGTTACTTGGGAGCAGTCCTCTCCCGTCGCCCCCCACCCCGAATAGTCCCTTTTCTACCTTCTGTTCATGCCCATTGAAAGCTGCCCTCCGCCCCCAAAGCACTAACACCTCCTTCCCAAGAAGGAGAGCTGTGCTGCTAATCTCAAGCCTTCGCTTGTCAAGAAAGAAGTCTCCTCCTACAAAGGGGCGAAGCCGCCTATTTGAAAGCCAGCCACCGAGTGACCACTGCGGTTTGCAGAGAGTAAGGTGTGCCAGCCATACAGAATTAGCTAGAGCCAAGCTGCCTTATTTAGCAAGCTAAAGGTTTTCCTGGATGGGTGCAGCCATGCTCCCCCACTGCACTCCCTCCCCAACATCACCATTACAGCCAACCTGATCTCAATATAGTCATGCCTCCACCTCGTTACAATGTGTAGTGTAGACTGGACCTGTAAACAGGCTACACATCAGAGACAATGTCTGGCAATGACACACCTAAGACCCCTTCCCTCCTATGAATTGTAACTGGGCAGGGAACAGCCAGGTTCAACCAGGCCTCGTGATGGAGCATAGAAGGAGCCTTTGCTGCTTCAACATTTGCTTTCAGTTGAGGTTCAGGAATGGGAGAGCAGGTGGTGCCACAGAGCAGCTTCCATACGCTAGAACAGGATGGATGAGAGGGACTCATACTAGAGTTTTGGCAAGCCAGCTATAGTCAGATTTGACCCCCAGTGGTTTGAGACATTGCCATTCCCCTCCCTCACCACCCTTGCCTCAGATGTTCCTTCACTGATGGGCAGCCCGACCTCTGCAGTGCACCAGTAGGAGAAGGCCCACATGAAAGATTGCAGCTGAAGCCACAAGGCAAGCAAGAGAGTTAGGTGGGGTGGGGGGGGGGGGTTATTTTACAATCTAGATCAGAGAGTGCCTATGTGGCCAGGCTATTGCATGCAGAAGATTTTGCCAGATGTTATTTCTAAGCTGCTTGGCACCAGAGTCTCATTCAAAAGACAGTGTTCCTAAGACAGGTCTCTGACTGGACTGATCAATGTCACAGTAGTGTGTGTCCAGTTGGAACAAGGCCATTTCAGCAACAGGCATGATGCTGCTTTAGCACAAACATCCACAGCCTGGTTCCTGATGGGAGACAAATAGAGCCGGGACTGTTAATGTATACAGTGTGAGTCTAAAATGACAGCTGTTCTTGCACTCACCTCTCCTCCATTGACATAGTCTAGCACAAAGTAGAGCTTCTCGGAGGTCTGGAAAGAGTAGTGGAGGCCCACCAGGAAAGGATGTTTCACGTTTTTCAGCAGCACGTTGCGTTCCGCCATAATGTGGGTTTGCTGTGCAGAACCAAGCAAAGATGTGTTAGTACGTCAGTTTGTGTCGTTCCAGAGTCTGGCAGGCGAGCGGCCACCTAGTGCTGAGAGATCTTCAGATGGAAGGTTCTCGACAAGTTCCCGGTATTGTTATTCATTCTGAGGTCAGCTGACCATTCCTGGGGGTGACTAGGTTTAGTATCCGAAAGGTCAATACCCAGTCCCTCTAAAGGCTGCCTTGGAACCTGACTGAGTTAGCAAGCAAAAGCTTGTCAAACAGGATTCCTCCAGAACCATGTTTGACAATTCCTCCCTCTCCTACCTCCCTGCAGCCCATCACAACACACGCATACTCCACACTGTGGTACGCACTAGCGCCCACAGTCTACAGCGCAGGGTCTCCTCCTGGAAACACAACAAGACATAATGCCCACAACTGCGAGAGCTCATCAGTGAAGTTAATGGGTCTACTCACAGCTGTAAGCGCTATACTCGCTAGTAAGTATTTGCAGAATCAGGCCCAGGGTTTGGTGTGGAAGCAGAAATATCGTTAATGGTTATAGTGTAGACATAGGGGCTGGGTGGGCAAGGACTGAGCAGTGGCAGAGTTTGTTTGCACCATGCTCAAGCCAGTGCTGTTCAGCTTTCCTTTCCTCTGCACCATGATCATTCAAATGAGCCCCCTAAAAGTGAGGATCGGTCGGGGTGTACACCAGCAGCGACTAGAGCAAGCAGCACAAACATGCTAGTATGATGCCTTGCTTTTATCATGAAGAAAAAACACCAAGAAGAGAAGTGAAACCCTCCTCCCCTCCCCAGAGGGCTCATCTATAATGTACCTCCTTTTTCTTCAGGATGGATTTCTTCTGCAAGACTTTCACAGCATAAGACATCCCATCAGACTTGCGTTTGGCCAGGAGAACCTACAGCAGAAGGGCCAGGTGAGGGGCATGGATCTCTGGTGCTCAACACCATTCCAGTTTATTTCATTAGTTTTTCACACCACCTTTGCACTAGTGCAGGTGACTGCACAAGGGGCCAGGCTATGATTTTAGAGCATGAGAAGCCAGCCAGGTGTTTTCCCCTTCCATCCCTTGACAAGGGCACACAGCAAACTAAGCTTCCCCTCCATTCCCCAGCTACCTTTCCCCTCACTCCACCCAGTATCCAACTAGAGCAGTTTCAGAGCACAGAGGGAAAGAATCCCCTTTCTACAGGATCACTGTCATCTCACAAAGCACAGACATGCCCAGGGACCCTCACCTAGTTGTGTGAGAACGTGCCAAGATGAGCAGTATTTCAAGGGCTGCTCTATACCCTACATCCTACTACCTTTGGGGTAGTAAGATACCACTCACCCTCTTCCTCTGGGCTGCTTGGAAGGAAAGTGGTCCAAGAAACAAGCCTGGCTCTCAAGCCTTGCCAGGCAATGAAGGTGCAAAGCACTGGCTAGCCTGTTGCCTTCGACCTACCCTATTCACTTGTTTAGTGCTACAGGCCTCTTTGTTCCCAGGCCCGTTTCTGCATTGGTGACGGGCTACTCAAGAGAGGGGCACATGAAGCCCACTCCACTGCTGGTGGAAACTAGTTCAGCAAAGGGAAAGAGGAGACCATGCAAGGAGGCCTTTAGAAACCCATGACCGACCCCAAGCTACACCCACTTACTTTTCCAAAGCTTCCTTTGCCAATAACTTTCAGAAAATCAAAATCCGTTGGCTTGGCACTGTTGGACAAGGAGACAGCAGGTTACCACCCAGACCACCCATTCCATGGGCTAAATGTTAAGTAAGGTTTTTTTCGAAAGTACATGAGGAGGGTCAGCCCTGAAAGATGGGTGGGAGACATAATCTTCATTCACTAGATAAGCTTCCTTCCCTCCTCCAGCCACACATGCAGCAATCCGGGAGACAAAGATTTTGTATGGGGCAATACAGACACACAAGGGCAGCAGTGGGGTGGAATTCCTAGCCAAGTATGCCAGACACATGGAGAATCTGCTCTCCTGAATATGACAGTGGCAGAGAAAGCCGTTAAATCCTCAAATGCACCTGAAGGTTAGGTGCAAATGAAGCTCTTTGCTTTCTCTCCCCGAAGACTGGGAGGAGCTCTGGCTGATAAAGCAGACAGCAGGGAGATGCAATAGAATCAAAATAAGGAAGCGTCTCCCTCCTCCACCTAACACGGAACCAAAGTACCAGGTGGAAGCAGCAAAAGACAAGGGGCTGGGGGTGGTATTAGAGGGCAGGCAGGAGACGAGGATCCTGGCCTCAGTCAAAGTGACAAAGCAGAAACCTGAACATGTGACTAGCTATGGCTGAGCCCCCAGAGAGCTGAAATTTGAGATACGCGCTATATCGGTGTCTGCCTGGGCCATTTGCTGGTTATGATTTCTTTGCTCAGATGGAGCAAATCAGATGGGAAGCCAATCATTTATTTCACTGCAAGGCTCACCTTGTGCACCAGGTTCAATACTCTCCCATGTAAACACAGGTTACTTACTTTGGATTAGCAGAAGGGCCAAGGTTGATGTTGTCAGTCGGTGTCAGAGGCTGGAGGAGACACAGATATTGAACTATTAGTCAGTGGTTCCCTGAGAAGGAACCTGGGATTCCAGTGAAGAGTTTCAAAGCAGACGTGTTCTTTCACTCGCTGCAGGAAGTCATGTGTTACAACCCCAAACAGACACGGTCAGCCTATTTTTGAGTCAGAATCTCAGCCAACAGTGGCCCTGAGACTGCAGCAGTTGGCTTTATCCCGCCACCCTCAGTTCCCAACTCCTCCAAGTTCACCAGCAAGAGTGGAACAAATCTTCTGGCATCTGGCTGGATAAGTCCCTCCAGAAGGAAGGAGGTCCGTTGCTGGACACTGCACAGGACAGGTGTGGGGGGAGAGGGGGAAATGTCATTTCCCTTCCTCACCTAAGCCCTACTCACGTCCTAAGGCAACAGCATCAGCCAGAACCCACACGCCCAGGCAAGCCCCTCATCAGCCTGACTTAGCCATTCGGAAGGCAGCTACTCCTGTGAGGAAGTGACAGGCTTAGCTGCTGGCAGGGTTCGTGCGAGATGAACAGCCTCGGCGTCAGGAAAAGCCAGGTGCGATGTTACACTCACTGGTCCCTCTTTGCGCGCGAGTCACACAGGCCGCAGGAACACATGGGCGATTGCCACCGTCTGCACCGGGCGATGGACTCATACGCAAGCACACTAGGGGAGAGCTCCCCATTTCTGTAGCACTTAAAGACCCTCCCTACCCTCGCAAGGGCTGGCAATCTCATCCCCGATGATAGCGAGATTGCAGGGACCCTAGGCACCTGCCAAGCACACCCAGGGCTGGAATTCAGAGCCAGGAAATTAATCTTCCTACCTCCAGACAACAGCACTAATCCAGCCCATGGCTCAGGGACCACTCAAAACTGAAAGCTATGCTAAAGCCCTGGAATTTTGATTTTCTCTGGTGGCACGGGGCGGGGGCGGAGCCCGTTCTCTTCCTGCCCATCCCCCATACACACAGGTCCTTTTCCTCCTCTTCCCCACCTCTAGCCACAGGGGCATTTTCCCTGTCCCCACACTTTACAGGAAACAAGCCCTCTCTGCCAGGACTGTGTGCTCCTTACACTTCTGCTTCCTGCAGTGACCCCTGGTCAGAATCAGAGCAGCTCCCTCCTCTCCATCCAGCATTGCCCATCCGTGACCACAGGGACAAGACAGTGCTAGAAGGAAGCAATCCCAGAGGCTGCCGAGGAGGCGTGTACTAGTTTTATAGGGTAGAGTCTGCAAGGACTAAAGCCAGGGAACACCCCTCACCCTGCCCAAACACCCTCTGCAATGAATGATTGTGGGTTGGGAAGAGACACGTGCACACACACACCCCGTGAGCATGGGGTGGAGCTAAAGAATCCCCACCCCTGGAGGCGTGTGATTGACTCGCCGAGCTCCAGGGGAAGTGAGGGGTGTCTACAGCCCTGCCAGGGGATCAGCTGGAGGAATAGTCACAGGTGAAGCACAAGGACCCTGCCCAGCATGGACTCACTGCAGCCCTGCAGGATTCTCATGGCAGGAATGAATCAAATATGCAGGTGTGGGGTTAAGAGTGCCCAGCCTGGTGTGGTTTTTGGGCACTCTTTTTTTGGGGTCATGGCTCAAGATCCACAGTCAACTTGATGGTGATGCTCCCAGTGTGGCTGAGGAATCCTGCAATAACGGGAGCTGACTCAGGGGGATCGCAAAAGTGAGGTGTCATGAGTCACCTCCCACCCATGGCAAGACAAGGGTCATCTATCCCCCATACCTGGAGCGGAACGATTCTAAACAAACTGCTCTTTGCCTGAAAAGACACCCCAATCTCCTCCCTCTTTTCTGAGAGGAGAGAAGGATTAAGGCTAAATTGTCCAGCTCACATTTCTCCTACAAATGTCCTTCCTCCCTGTTACAATTAGCAGTAATTCTGCATAGGAGCCAGCAAGCCAGAACCTTACCTGGGGGCTGTTATCCGGATTTTTAGAACGGTCCATTAAGAAGGCAACTCTTTCAGCACTTGAAAGAAAAAGATGATAATAAAATGAATCAGCAAGGAGACTGTTCATCAGCACTTAGCCCTTAGCCCCCAGCCTGTCAGGGTTCAGAGCCAGCCTTCAGCACACGGAAAGCAGGCATCCGTTAAGGGGACCTGCATGATCTTCCCAGATGAGAATGGATAGAGCAGGAAAAAGGATGTTACTACCCAGTAACTTGTGGCATCACAGATCATACTTCCAGCACAACGTCTGGAGTCATGAGGCCTGATTCTTCATTGCCCTGCAGCTTGTATAGCTGTTTCCATTGGTGCGGAGGGGGGTACAGAATGTACACTCCCTCTCTCTTATTGGGTAGCATTTAGCGCCCTCATTGTGCACCCATGTAAGTGACAGCACAAAGTGCAGGCCTAAGAATGAGGCCCAAGGTATTTAAGTGCCCAGGAGCAGCCACAAGACTATCTAAAACTCAATTATCAGGCCAAAGTTTTCAGGAGTGGCCACTGATTCTGACACTCTGTGTTTGGGTGTCTTACATGTGATGCCTAGTACCCCATTTTCTCAGCTGTTGAGCACCTGAACCTTCCATTGGGTTCAACGGGGCCTCAGATTGGGTGCTCCTCCCCACAAAAGGCACCTCAAAAAAGTGGCCCCTTTTGAAAAGAGGCCCCCCACTTCTACTGAGCTCAGAGTGCCGATGGGAAGTTGCTGCTGGGACAGAACCAGCCAGAATTCAAACAGAGACAGTGTCTCATCAGAGCCTCTCTGGTTCAGCCAATTGCTGCAGACAGAGCTGGCCCTGGGGTAGTGTGGCCCTTTCACTCAGTCACACTCCACAGCCTCTCAAGAGGGGGGACCTTACAGCCTAACAAAAACCACGACCATCTAGTGCAGCAGCCCAGGTGAGGACTCCTCTTAGCTCACTGGATAGAAGTTCAAGCAGGTGCTGAGAACAGCAGGGATGCTATGCTTTCAGCCTCATGATGTGCTCGGGCTCAGTGCCCCTCTCCAGACACAGACGGTCCTTTTGGCTCTGCAGGGAAGCCAAGATAATGCAAGCTGGGTTTGACCACATGGCTTTCCCCAGGACGGTGCTGGCCCAGTTTTGATGCCGTTTCCCAAGCCAGCATAGACCAGGTCCACACACATCTGACACAGTTTTACAGACTTTACTAGCCCAGGTAGTAAAGCAGGTCTAGACCCAGGTGAGCTCTGGGCTGCAGGAGGCAGGCCAGCGTTACCTGGGGCATCTTTTAGGAAAGAGCTGTGCTCAGCGGTGGTTCCAAGCACCAGCTCCAAATGGCACTTTGGATCGACAGGTGCAGGAAGGAACCAAAAGAGACACTTTGTAGCTTGGCCCTCTCTCGTTCCCGGGAGCTGGTTTTCTGTGGTTGGAGATCATGTAGATAAGAACAAAGGGAGCCAGCCCCAGCCTCCACTTTCCCTTCTAAGCCCTCCCCTTTAGCTAAGGTTAAATAATATCAAAACCAAGTTCCTTCCTCACCCCCCGAAAGCTTCACATATTGTCTTGGAGGAAGCTCTGCAGACATATGGGGGGTCCATCCATCTCTGGAGCATTATCCAGGCCCATGAAAACCCCCACCACTCTGTGCCCCTTGTAACCAGCCAGCCAAACCGCACACTGAACACTCCTAGGTCTCTCCCTCCCCCCTTCCCCCCAGTGCCAGTGTGATCTCTCACAGCAAGACGTTCCCCCTCTGCAAGACGCACGGGCCACCTGGACTCCCAGCAGCTAGAGAAAGCCCCTCCTCCAAAGCAGAATCAGTGCCATGGCAGGGGACGCTCCCTGGCAGTGCCTGTTTGTGCTGGAGGCAGCTCCCAGAGCCCTGCCCACAATTCTGGCCCGTGCCAGCCCACTCTGCTCACCAATTATTGTCTAGAGCAGAGGTTAGCAGGCTGTGTTTTAAAGGGCTAGTGTCCCATTGAGAGGCTTTTATACTCACTAGGAGCACAGCCTGGAGCCCGAGGCCTTGATGGTCTGTTCTATCCTCTCGCACCCGTGCTTTATAAGATCTGCAAGAAAGAAAAGTTAGAAAACTAAGCTGATTAGCTGGCGGTGTGAGCACAAGAACACAGAGGCCTGTTTGTTCCTAATTGACCTTGCCCTGCTCTTCAACATCTTTCCCCCCCTCCACCCACACACCAGAGTAGCCAGGCATTTATAGGAGCCAGGACAGCTTCCCCCAACTCCATCAGGGACCTTTCCTCAGTTTACAAGCTAACCAATGAGTACTGATAGCTGGGGACCCCCTAGAGGTCTGGTTTGCACAAGCCTCCCCCCACAAATCACCTCTCAGAAAAATTCCCTGGGTCCTAGTCTCCCAGCAAGGGAAAAAAAAAATCACAAGACAGATGTGTTTACACTGGCATACATCATACTTGGCACTTGCATCGCCCCTTTCATTCAGGGCTCTCAAAGCACTTCAAAGCATGAATCAGGCCTCACAACATCCTCAAGCAAGCCTCGTTATTCCCCACACCCAATCATGGCACTGAAGTGACTTGCACAACAACATACAGCAACCAGGGTCAGTCAGGATTAAACCCTAAGAGTTGTCCTGCACCTTGTGTTGTCCTGCACCTTGCGTCATCAGTCGCACCAGCGCAAAGCACATGTCAAATGTCACCTTTCTGATTCGGTGGCATTTTACTGTCACTGTACAATAAATGCAGGCCAGTGGAAGAGTTGGGCCCAGAAATCCTGTTTTCTGGTCCCCCATCCTACAGGCAGAATAGAACTGGATCCAAAAACTGGAGCATTTTTTGAAAAACACACAAACATATATATTTACAGACACATACACACACATAAGATATAAAAACATGGCAGGTTTCAAAGAGGAATGATTTTTTTGGTTAGCTAATAAATATTTTCACAAAATTTCCGGGCCCTTCACTTCAACCCCCGCCCCAGCTTTGCAACGGAAAATAGTGGGGGAGGAGAAGAAAAGAAAGGAAACCAAAACATTTTTATTTAAAAAGAATCTTTTACAAAAAAAAAACCAAAAAAAAAAACCAGAAGATTCCTTTTTTTAAAGGGGAAAAAAAAAAGGGAGAGGGCATTTCCATGAAAACTAATGTTTTACTCAACAAGTGTTGAACAGCTGTACTGTAGGACAAACTCAGCAGCACTGGCTGCAGACGTACAATCCCTCCTAAGCTGGGAGTTCCTTTAGCTCAGGTAATAGGTTTGGAGATAAACATGAACAAATGACACTTTGCATATTAGCCTAAACACCTGGCTGGGAATTTGGCAGGGGAGCCAAGTCCCTGAACAGACAGGCGTAGCTGTGAGCTGAGTAGTTGTTAACAGGGCACAGTCCACTGGTCTGGGACCCAAGATTTAGATTTGGTGATGAGATAACAGACTTTACAAGCTTCTACTATAGATTCAGGGCAAAAGAAGTGGAATGAACCTTTATGTAGTCATTTCCCTGCAGCATTATGAGCCCAGTAAGACAGCAGCATTGTGCTGTTGCATGAGAACCAGAAAGTGATGCTTGGTGTGCCTGCCATTGCAGTGATGGCTGCAAGATCATCTTCCCAGGTGCCCAAGGACCGTAATCTATTTGCATACAGATGCCCCCTCCCTTCCCCAACATAAGTGCACTAGGCTGTAACATTTACCTGGACTTTTCTCTCCTGTGATAAGCTAAGGGAAGTTTGTTCGATTCTACTACCAATAAAAGCTTGCATTAGAGTTTGTTTGCCCTCCCCTGAGGTTACCGGGATAGCATATCAGAGGACTGGTTTCAGAGTAGCAACCGTGTTAGTCTGTATTCGCAAAAAGAAAAGGAGTACTAGTGGCACCTTAGAGACTAACCAATTTATTTGAGCATAAGCTTTCAGGAGCTACAGCTCACTTCATCGGATGCATTCAGTGGAAAATACAGTGAGGAGATTTATATACACACAGAACATGAAAAAATGGGTGTTACCATACACACTGTAGGGAAAGCGATCACTTAAGATGAGCTATTACAAGCAGGAGAGCGGGGCAGAGCCGGGGGGGGAGAGGGGAAGAAAATCTTTTGTAGTGAGGGCTGTATTTTATAATGCCATGGACCAGGCAGCCCATTGGCAGAGACCCACATAAACCTGCCGGATATCACTGTCAAAATGGAGAGCAATGTGAAGAGTAAACCAGCTTTGCAATGGATAACATGGCGACCACTGGCTTTGAGAGCACAAAGGCAGCCCCTGAATAGCAGAGCAACTTAACCCAAGCCACAAGGACTGGTAGAATGAGAGGCAGCACAAGAAGCAGCCATCCTTAAAGGGCAGGGAGGAATTTTAAGGATGCAATAGTCTTTCATCTCTGTGGCTTATGGACTTGTCTATGGAGTAACTGGGACTGAAATAATTAGTTGAAGTTGTCTGGTGCTAGTCTGTGCACAGATGGTCTTACTGTGAAATAAAAGACCCCTATTCTGGTATAACTTAAGCCAGCGAAAAAAAAAAATCAGTTAAAGTTATCAGAATAGTGTTACCTTACTCTGCAGTAAGAGCATCTACGCAGACGAGCATCAAAACCAAAGGAGTTCGCACAAGTGGTTTAGGTATTTCGGTTCCGGTGACCACTGCAGACAAGCCACAGCAGCCAGCTTTTGAAGACAGCTCAGCACATTGGGTATGGAGCTTTCCTGAAAATCTGTACCATACGCCCGATTCTCCTCTCATTCACACCCATGTAAGCCCATTGATTTTACTGCAGATTTTCACAGGTGTAACTGAGAGCTAGGTTCAAATTCCAGACTCAGGTCGTAACAGAGAAGGATGTGGTAGCTCCTAGCTTAACCCCTAGAGGACAGACTAAAGGGTCTCTCCAGGTCACTAAGAGAAAGGGGTTCTCAGGACAAATTTTTTGGTGGCCGAAGAGTGCGGCCACCAACTCTTGCTGGTGGCCGCTCTCACACTTTTTCCTAAAATACTTAATTAGCTTTAAGAAAAACAAATAAATATGCACATATACATGTCCAAATCATTGTAATTATTTATTGCTAGGTTTCAGAGGAACAGCCGTGTTAGTCTGTATTCGCAAAAAGAAAAGGAGTACTTGTGGCACCTTAGAGACTAACCAATTTATTTGAGCATGAGCTTTCGTGAGCTACAGCTCACTGTAGCTCACGAAAGCTCATGCTCAAATAAATTGGTTAGTCTCTAAGGTGCCACAAGTACTCCTTTTCTATTTATTGCTAGTTAGTAAATCTGTTGTGAAAAGTGATATTAACAAACATGAAAGTATCACTTTTCACAGCAGATTTACTCAGCCCCGGCAAGCCTGGGGACAAATTAAGCCCTGGATGCGGGGGACGAAGTAGGCAGTAGGGGCCGGGGCAATGGAGTTGGGGGGGGGGGCGGCGGGGGAGATAGTGGGGGGCCAGAGTTTGAAGACCCATAGCCAGAACCCAAAGCCCCATGGCCAGGGATGGAGCCTGAAGCGAGGCAGCTGGAGCCTGCCGCCCCACCACTCTAGAGGTGAAGCCTAAAGCCTGAGCCCCACCACCCCTGGGAAAGTGGGGAACTCACCAGCTGCCTGTTCCTCCAGCGTTGTGCCCCAGCTGTCTCCAGAGTGGAGCAGCCAACAGCAGCAACACCAAGACGATGCATTCAGGAGCAACAGGGAGGGAGTTGGCTGCTGCTTTGCCCCCAGCCCCCAACCACAGCCCAGGAGGCTGTGGCTGCAAGAAAAGCCATCGGTGGCTGCATTTGAGAAATGCTGGACTCTACACTGCGTTAAACCCAGAGCACCAGGTCTCAGAGCCCAGATCAGCTCAGGTGACTTAGGCTTGTGAGGCTGGGGCTGCGGGACTATAAAACTGCAATGTAAACAATCAGGCTTGGGCTGTAGCCTGGGCTTTGAGACCCCATGAGGGTGGAGGGTCTCAGAGCCTACGATCCACCCAAGCCCAAACATCTACACTGCAATTTTATAGCCCTGCACTCTGAGCCTGCAGATCCAGGCCAGCTGTGCTGTGCCGCAGGTCTTTTATCATAGTGCAGACATACCTTTACCACAAGAGAGCTAGTCTCCTCCGGAGCTGGGCAAAATTTTTCAACAAACTTTTTCTCCCCCTGCAGATTAGGTTCTCCCCATGCATTCCGTGAGCGTGAGTTGATTTCAGCAAATAGTTTTGCTCAAACAACCTAAAAAGTTTTTCCAACTTTTTCGGAAGTTTTTCATTTTGATGTTTTCAAAGTGAAACGTTGAGACTTCGATTTGAAACAGCTTTTCTTCATTTCAAAATTCAACGGTTTAAAATAAAACTAAAAGTAAGAAGAAAAAAACCCCTCAAGATCTAAACAAAACATTTTGTTTGACCCAAAACATATTTGCTTGGTTTTTACACTTTTCTCAATGGCCAGCAAGCCAAAAAGACACTCAGTTCTGGTCTCCTCCTCCAAGCCAAGGCACAGGATGAGGCTAGTGAAGGTTGGCTGGGTCAAAACAGAACAGCATGGGCAGTGTGTTGGGCGTGCAGGGCAGAGTTTGCACCGCTTCTGCTCATTTTAAGGTCCTCTCCAGTGGTGTCTTGCTGGATTCAGTGAAACTACTTGACAATTCTCTATGGGAGAACAGCAGCGCTTGCTTTGTATCTATCAACTGGGTCACTCAGGGACCAGGACCTCACTTTCTTATGCATTTGAAAAACACTATGCAGGTCTTAGTTCGAGGTCAGCCCTGTGCTCATAGTACCATTTTCAAGGCACCTATTGATATGGCTGTGATCAGAGCGGGGCCTGCCATCCTTCCCCACTTGGTCCACACACACCCCTTTTCTATGAGGTTGGCCTTCTCTTAAGTCGAGGCAGCTTCTGCCCCTCTGGGGGTTTCAAACCAAACAGCAGGTACGCAGGCAGTCACAGATCCTCCTTGCCCTAAAGCCTGAAGATCTTCCCAGCACACTTAAAAACTAAAAATAAGACCAGAAATAGGTCACAAAGATACACGAGAGTTCGGTTCGAAAAGAAGAAAGGTTGCCACGTTCTTGCCTCTCTTGGGGCTGCAGGGA